CCTGCAACCCAGGCACGTGCCCTTGACTGGAATCGAACCTGGGACCCTTCAGTCCTCCGGCCGACCCTCTATCCGCTGAGCCAAACCGGCCAGGGCTCCCCTGACTTTTTAACCTCTCAGACATCAATGTTTAAAATGGATTTATTGTTTTTAAAAATCTCAGAGGGAAAGCAGAGCCTAAGTTTGTTCTTCATCCTCTCATTGATTCTTCCCACTTTAAAATCAGAGTCTTCCCCTGGCCACAAATTCCACTGTGCCCCTGTCCTCATACCAGATGCTTTAGGTGCAAAGAGATGCAAGGGACAAGGGTCCCTCCAGTGCCCCGACCCACCACCCTGAGGTTGCTGCCTGAGGAGGGACTCAGGCAAGCGGGAGGCAAGGAACGAGGAAGAGACGGCAGTAAGAGCTTTGAGGACCTGTTCGGGTCCCAGCGTAGCCACTTTATCATCTGCCTGACCATGAACACGTCACTAGACCTCCCAGAGCCTCACTACTACCATCACCTGCAAAACGAGGGTAACTTCCTGTGCCTCGGAAGACAAAGGACCAGAGGTGAATACAAGCAAGCAGCCTGTAGCACAGACAGCTGTGCAGCAAGTCCTCGTCCATCTCAGTATCATGCTAACTAGGCTGCTTTTCCTGAGATCTGAAGTTCCTTTCCATCCACACACCACGTGCACGCCCACTCCAAAGCCGAGCAATACTGCGCGTCCACATACATTCCCCGCAGGGAGCTCTGCCCTCCCCAGGAATCTGAAACGTCCTCCACCTGTAGGCAGGTGCTCCAAGGAGGGAATCCCACAAATGTGATGTGATTAGTCTGCTGGGTTTCATCTTGGCTCCACTGCTTAATTCCAGACAGGTTACTTAACCTCTTTCTCATCTCTGACATCAGAATCCCAGCCACACCTCACTCCGAGGCTCATTGTGAAGAGTAAATGGGATCATGTGTGTGAAATCCTTAGTGCACTGGATCATCCTTAAAAAGTGGTCAAAAATTAATAACTCTTCTTATTTGCCCCAAGGCCAGCCCTTTCTGCCCAGAACAAACACATAGTTGGAGATAAAAGTGCTGGACTAGCATTCTTTTAAAAAATATGTATTTTATTGATTTTTCACAGAGAGGAAGGAAGAGAGATAGAGAGTTAGAAACATCGATGAGAGAGAAACATTGATCAGCTGCCTCCTGCACACCCCCCACTGGGAATGTGCCCGCAACCAAGGCACATGCCCTTGATCGGAGTCAAACCCGGGACCCTTCAGTCCGCAAGCCGACGCTCTATCCACTGAGCCAAACCAGTTTCTTAAGTGTCACTGATTAGCAGGATGTTGTGGGCCTGAACTTGTCTTCTCTGTGCCTCAGTTTCCTCATCTGCAAACCAAAGAGGTTGGCTTAGTGGAGGCCTTCCAGCTCTAACTCTGAAGGACGGCTGAGGAAAAGTTGTTTGTCTGCCCCGTGTGGCTTCTGGATGGGCCCAGTGTTCCCAGCCACTCCATGCCGAGCAGAACCAATTCAAGGACTGGGAAGAAAGTTCTGGCCTCCTCAACCAGCACCTTGGCTAAGAGAGCTGCTCTGGGAACTCACCAGCTCAGGTTGGAGTTCTGTTTCTACTGCTGGGTGTGATCTTGGAAACATCACTTCACTCCCCTGAGCCCCAGTTCCTTCATCTGTAAAATGGGACCTAAAATGGTACCCAGAGTAATGACCACAGGAGCCAATGCCTTCAAAGGGCTTAGCAAACAGAGGAAGAAGCCAGGACTATACCAGTGTGTCCTTTATACCGTTGTCGGTGCCCATTGGTGTGGACCCCACTGCTGGGCAAGGTGCTTTTCTTAGAGCCAGTCTGAGTGCACATGAGTCCATTCTGAACATTAATTCTATCGACAATAAAGCTCGTTATGAGGACAGAGGCCTCCTGGGGACCCACCCACCTGGAGATGGGTGGCTGGCCTCTGCATGTCAACCGTCCAGATTCCCATGATGCCAGGTCAGTCTGAAGATGATGACAAAGGACCAGCTCTGCGGGGCTGGGGAGGACTCCATGCTGCTTGTTGCTCAGCCCTTTACCTGGGTAGGAATGCAGGAGGAGAAGTGACCTATCCGAGTCTAATGGCATGTTTCTAGACCAAGACCACAAGGCAGCTGGTAGCATCAAAAAGCCTGTACTGGATTCTTGGCTTCTGTGTTGAATTACAGGCTGAATGCCCTCGCTGGACCTCAGTTTCCTCATTTGAGAAATGAGATACTTACTAATAGAGCCTACTTCTCAGGGGTATGCAAAGACTACACGAACATATGTGTAACATATAGCCAGCGCTCTGTAAATAGCATTCATATTACTCATGTCTCTACTCTCTATCCCCCTTTCATACCACACTGGAAGAACAGGGCATAGATTTGGGGGTTTCCTTCCAGCTGCAGAGCTATCTGAGGTAGTAGAGTTGACCTGGGCTTCCAGTCTGGAAACCTGACTGAAGCCCTCCTCTGCCTCTCTGGTGTTCTGGGACCTTCCACTGGTCACCTTCCCTCTCTGGCCCGCAGCTTCTTCCTCTAGAAAACGCCGTCCAAGAGAAATACACTGTGAGTCACATAGATCATTTTAAATTGCTTAGAAGGGCCAAAACCCTTCTAAGGTTTGGCTCAGTAGATAGAGCATTGGCCTGTGGACTGAAAGGTCCCGAGTTCGATTCCAGTCAAGGGCATGTACGTACCTTGGTTGTGGGGGTGTGCAGGAGGCAGCTGATTGGTGATTCTCTTTAATCGATGTTTCTAACTCTATCCCTCTTTCTTCCTCTTTGTAAAAAAAATCAATAAAATATATTTAATACAATTTTTTAAATTGTTTAGTAGGAGTAAAGCAAATTAATTTTAGTAATATAATTTTCTAACCTATGTAGCCAATATATCATTTCAGCAAGTCATCAATACTAAAAAAAAAAATTAGTTATTTTGTTCTTTTTTTTTTTTCTAACTTTGAAATCTGAATGATTTTAAACTTGAGCAATTTTGGCAATTGTGTAGGATGATTTTGGTTGTCACAAGGGGAGAGGCAGGGAGGGCAGCTGTGTGTGTGTGCTACTGGCATTTAGAGGGCAGAGACCCGGGTGCTGCTAACCACCCTCCATGCACAGGGCAGCCCCCCACGACAAAGCACAAACAGTGCCTGTTATACCGCACAGTCTAGCACAGTGCAGATCAGCCAATGTCACATGGAGCTGGTGGCTGCCATACTGGACACGATGGCTCTGTAACAGAAAACATTTAGTCATGCACTTGGAGAAACCACGTTTTTTAGGAATTGGGGTTTTGGTACGTTTGTTTTTCTACTCATCCCAAAAGTATTGGCCAAATGAGATGTAGCTGGCTCCCAGGGCCTGGCTGGCTAAGGGCAGAGCCCATCTGTCCCAGGCTGGTCAGACTCTTCCCAAAGCCACCCGCCCTCCCTAGGGGACTGAGCCCGGGACAGACAGTGCATCCCATTGTTCTCTTCTGGGGAGACAACGCTGCAGGCCCTGCTACCTGCCTGACAGGGCTATTGTGGCTCCAGGAGAAAAGGGCTTTGTAGGGAAGCAGTGAGGAGCCTGCAGTTCAATGGGGCCCTTTATGCCCGTGTTCCCAGGATGGCAGCCCGGCGAGGCCCCGCCCCCTCCTAGAACAAGCAGAACTCTGGGCACAGAGGGGTGTGGAGGGCTCTCCAGCAGATCCCAGCTCCTTCCAGTTCAGCCCACTGTGCTGAGACAGGAAATTCGCCTAACTCTAAAGGCCCCGTCTCCAAGCACAGGATGAACTCAGGACTGCCCTTACCTCCGGGCAAGGGGGCCCAACCCTGCACCCTGAAACATAGTGGCTCCACCAGTCACAAGCACATACCAAAATAAGTGTATTAACAACACGTGGGCGTCTGTATCTCAGGATCTGGGCTGCACAATGCACTGTAACCTCAACGGGCTCCCCCATGATTTAAAAAGGCCAGGCCAATGGAAGCTAGAGTCACGCTTGGGTATTTGCTATTGCCTTAGTGTGCTAGGGTCCTCGAAGAGCAACTGCTATCCTTATTCACTGGCTGTGGTCCCCTATGGCATAGTCAGTCATCAGGTTAGTGATATGCATAAAAATAAATTTTTAAATAAAAATAAGTAAAATAAAATAAAATAAAAATAAAAAGGCCAGGCCACAGGGACCTACTCCACCTCTCTTGTCCTCTGTTTTTATTATTACACAACAGCATCAAGTCTTTCCCTCACCCTATTTTTTAATGGTGATTTAGATAATTGATCCCATTGTGTTTCCCCCCATAATACATAAAGTTCTCTTGGGACAGGGACCAAGTATGACTCATTTTAGCCTCCAGTCACATCCCTTCCTTCTTTCATTCAGTTTACCAAGCTTCTATCACCATTCATTCCACGTGTTACCGACTCTTTACTGCGCACCCACTATGTGCCCAGCACTACCAGACCTACACTGAATGAATGAGCAAGGCGGAGAGGTAGGAAGTCAAGAAGGCAGGCGGAAAGGAAAAAAAACAGGGTCCTGGGAGGTGGGCCCGAGAGGGCCCCAGCTGGCACCCGTGTCCCCACCCATCCCCCACTTCCACCGTGGCAGGAAAACTGCCCTCTCTCCCGCCACCGTCCTGGGGCCCATCAGCGCTGTCCCTGGAGAGGGAGCTGGGTGCCCGTCCCAGCTTCGGAGAGTGGAGGCGCCCGGGGACCCGCCCCCTGCCGCCTGCGCTGGGCGAGGGGCGGTGACTCCCTCTCGTCCTCCCCCCCAGAGGGCGTGCGCCCCTCTGTGGCCGCTCGAGTGCAGGAGGCGAGGGATACCCCCCCCCCCCAACCCCCGCCTTAGAGTTGCCCAAGCCCCTGGGTGACGCCTCCCCGGGGACCCTCCCCTTCTGGGGCGCGTCATTCTCCCTGCCCCCGGGTTCGACCCGGGCGGCTTCTCGCACGCCAGCCCGGGAGGAGTCTCAGCCACCTGCTCCGGAGCCCGGCGCCCGGCGCCCATGGAGCCGCCCGCCGACAATGCCAGCTATGCCAGCTGCGAGAACGGTGGGTACAGGACCAAGAAGGGGCGGGGTGGCGGGATAGGGGGAACCCAGGGGACTGCGCGCCTTCCATTCCGCGCTCCTTTCCTTCACATCCTCTCCTGCCAGGGGCGCCCAAAACCGAGGGGTGATATGGGTGGGTGTGGGGTGGGGATTGGGGGTGGGGGAGGTCAGTACGAGTTGTCTCCCACCCAGTTCTCAGACCTACCTTGGGAAGGAGCTGGGGTTCTGGCTGGCTTCCCCCATCTTGGGAGCTGGGAAGCTGAAGGGACAAGGGGAGAAAGGGGGACAAATGGGGTAGGGAGAAGGGGGAAGCAGGCACTGATTGCGATAGGTCGATCTAGAGGTGTGGGATCCCAGGTTTCTTTTCATGTAATACCTGCTTCAGACTTTAGTACCTGCCCGCGTCTGGCTGTCTCCCTGGAGCCCATTAAAAACAGGTGAGGGCACCCCTCCGAAACCCACACACACCTTTTAGGAAAAGGGGGGAAAGAACAAACCATAAGGCAAGACCCTTGGCTTTACATCGACTTCTTACTGCTTAACTCCTAACACAACCCTGGAAGACAGGTAGATAGGGTTGCCTTACTGTCTGGAGATAGAGATTCCGCTGCTCTGGAAAGTCTGAAAACTCGGGGTAATACAATGGAGAATGGAATATAGAATGAGGGCTCTTGGATTCTGAAACCCATACTCCCATCACTGTGCTCAAATCGTTCTTGCTATGTCTCTGCTTTCTCACCTGTCTGAGCTGTGGGATTCCCCTGTTGTCCTAACTTCTCTCTCCAGTGAAGCTGTCAAAGCCGGCCTGTTGGGTGTTGGCTGGCTCTGGTTTCCTGACTAGCCAGGTCGTTCGTTTTCAGCCTCTCCTTCCCCTGGGGAAGAACACGTTCCCAGCCCCGATGTGTCCTAGAAGAGAAGCAGGAATGCTGGGGCCCAACACCTGCCTGTCCGATGGCATCCTTCCCAGAACTGGGTTGCCTTTGGCCCTCAGCCCTCTCTCTTTCCTTTTATCTCTACGGGAGGACTTGACTCCATGTGTAGGGTGCTGTGCCCCTGGGGCTTCAGGCCTCTCCAAAACAGCCAAGCCCACAGCGGGCCCTTTGGTTCCACCTGCTGGCGGTGCACTGTCAGGAGGGCAGGGGCTGGCGTGTGGATGGGCTTGTCCTTCCCCTTGGGAGTCGCCTTCCTTGGCCCATGTTCTCCCAGGCTCTGGCTCATTTCCTGGGCCCAGGGAACTCCCAGACTTGACTCTTGAAGAACAGGAGTGAGCAATCAGAACGAGTTTGATTAGGGGCAGAGAGATGACTTCTAATGGTCTCATCTTCTCTCGATTGTGACACTGATGTTAGATAGGTCCCCCACTGTAAAGGACACGTAGGTATCCCCTGGTGGGTTCCAAACCCGTGGCACAAGTTAGTATTTCCCCTTCTCGGGGCCTCAGTTTCCCTGGCTGAAAGGGGGCTGAACAGGTGCCTTCTGAGGACTGTTCCAGCTCGGCTGGCCCGTGCTTCTGTGCCAAGGAAGAAAGGCCAACATCGCTCTTGTTTAGTTCCACTGAGATGCCACTCTGGGGGCTGCATATTCCAAAGCCGGAGCTGCTTGACTTTGAATTATTGCAAGCTGGGTCCAGGTTTACATCCTTAACACAGGATACGGGTCTTTATGACACACAGTTAGAAAAAGACCTGCCACCAGAGGTCACAAATTCAAAAGCCTACAAGGGCTGAGTACGTAAAAATAAATAAATAAATAAATAAATAAATAAATAAATAAATAAATAAATAAAATGACAGTAGGAAGCCTGGTATGGACTCGGGCATGGCAAAGAGCATGTCTTGTTTAGGAGGACAGCAATGCTCTGCGGCAGCCAATTGTTACAGTGGGAAGGTCTGCCCCATAAGGTAACCAAGAGCTGCATTTCCATGCGAAATCTCCTGGTTTTTAAATGTTGGTAACAAATGCATATTTTTAAATCACCCTCAAGAGGCCAAATGAAACACCACCATTCCCCCTGCTCCCTGTGTTAAGGGTTGGTGGTGGCTGAGAGTATGGGTTTTGGCGGTAAGTAGGTTTGGGGTCCAATTCTGGCTTCACCAGTTTCCAGCAATGTAGCCTTAGGCAGGTTGCCGAACTTTTCAGGGTCCCAATTTCTTCAGCTAAAACCCTGGACATATAACTGTGCCATTTTCATGATGGGAAGGTCCATGGAAAGTCTGGGAGCAGAGGCCCACGTAGAAGACCATTGGCTATGCTTTGTCCTCTTCCTTGAATTTGGACGGCTTAGCTTTTTGACTAAGTGTCTGCGCCCTCAGGCCCAAGTTTGTCCTGTTGTCCTCCGTGTTTGTGCCAGAAGGGCCAGCAGAGGGCTCTGGGGCATGAGGGCAGATTCAGACTCACAGAATCTAGGACTTAGAAAGCAAAATACAATCAGAATCTGAGAGAGACACTGGTCCCTCTGAGGCCTGAAAATAATTCCCAGCCTCTAGCCACAAGCAGGGGAGGTCTCAGAAGTAAGGCCCGGGAATGGTCAGTTATAACAAACTGAACGCTTATATTTCATCATCCTCGGGCCTAAAAAGGGCTATGGGATCTCTAACCTCACTGTCTCATGTTACCTGTCAGGGTCTCCATTGTGGCTGTTGGGGAGATGTAAGTGAGGAGGTCTCCGGAGGGAGAACCCCCGTGTGATCCTGAGCTGTTGGAGGCCCGGAGGCTGGGAGGGGATTCCTGTGGAGGTGGGAGGTCGGACTCAAGGAGAGCTCGGGACCCTGCCTGTTGTTTGGTCCAGAAGAGCTGAGTGGCCTGCTGCTGGAGTTCGGGAATCCACCTGTGGTCGTAGGCGAGGTGTCTGTGAAATCCATGTCTGTGAAATGGGATTGAAAGACAGCACTTACATGACAGGTGGTTATAAGAATCTGATGAGCCGAAACTGGTTTGGCTCAGGGGTAGAGCGTCGGACTGCGGACTGAAAGGTCCCAGGTTCGATTCCGGTCAAGGGCATGTACATTGGTTGCGGGCATGTCCCCAATGGGGAGTGTGCAGGAGGCAGCTGGTCAATGTTTCTCTCTCATTGATGTTTCTAGCTCTCTATCCCTCTCTCCTCCTCTCTGTAAAAAATCAATAAAATATATATTTTTTTAAAAAAGAATCTGATGAGTTCATGCAAGCCTGGAGTAAGCTCTAGTGAATGCTAACTGCTATTTTTAGGTTGTTTGTGGTGGTGTGGGGAACAGGGTGTGGATGGAGTCCTGCCATGGTTGAAGCATGGGGTCTGATTTTAATATTTTTATTTTATTTCATTTTATTTTTTAAATATATTTTATTGATTTTTTACAGAGAGGAAGGGAGAGAGATACAGAGCTAGAAACATTGATGAGAGAGAAACATCGACCAGCTGCCTCCTGCACACCCCCTACTGGGGATGTGCCCGCAACCAATGTACATGCCCCTGACCGGAATCGAACCTGGGACCTTTCAGTCCACAGACCGACGCTCTACCACTGAGCCAAACCGGTTTCGGATGATTCTAATATTTTTAAAGCATGCTGATGTCTCTCACCCTGGTCTTCCCGCCTAGGCTCCCTGATCACCCTATATTGCTCCTCCCATCAAGTTCTGTGCCAGATCGTCGGTGACCTCACCCCCCAGGTGCCCAGCAATGTCACCTCTATCAGCTGGCATGAGAGGTTCACGAAGTACTACAGCTTCTACGTCGGCCTGGGTCTGGCCGTCCTGTCCAGCTTCCTCATCGGCAGCAGCGTCATCCTCAAGAAGAAAGGCCTCCAGCGTCTGGTGGCCTCGGGGGCCACGCGGGCTGGTAGGCTCCTGGGGCGGGGGGAAGGGGAGGTAGAGATGAGGTGCTGAGCAGCTGAACCCTCAGACAGCCACGTGAACCTCCCTTCACTGCAGCAGTTTGAGAGCCTGGCCTGGAAGGGTGCAAAAGGCTCATTGTCAACCCCATTGGGAATCCAGTCCAATATATCCTGACATCCTCATGATCACTTAACTGGGGTGAAGAGAGGGAAGAGTCAGAAACCCCAAGTCTAGTCCCAGTTTTATTTCTTATCAGCTGTGTCATCATAGACGAGTCGCAACTTCCCTACAAAATGAGACTACAAGTACCTCTGTCTGGAACAATGTCAGACACTAGTGTGCCCTCAGTTGCTAGCATATTGACCCCCTTTGTGGGCTACGTTGAACATGGGACGCAGTGCCTGGGGCATTGAATCTGGTGGGAGAGACAGGCATGACAGTAGGCAGTTGTTCCATTGTGTGTGAAGCGCTGCCGTGGGGAAAATAGGAGGCTATGGCAATATTTTGGAGGAACATGTAAAGCCTGGACTTAGGAGTTAGGGGAGGTTTTCTGGAGAAGCAATTCAGAAACTGAGGCCTAAATAATGAGGTGATAACCAGGTGAGGGGGAGGAGGAGGATGTAGTGTTCCAGGCAGAAAGAACAGCATGTTCAAAGGCTCAGAGGTGAGAGAGCATGAGTGGTGTTAGAAACTGAATGTAGTTCAGGATGGCTGGAGCGTGGCCAGGGAAGAGATGGTGTTGGGGCCAGATCATGACGGGTTGAGTAAACTGGGCTTCAGAATTTGAGCGTGATTGTAAGTGACTGAAATTTATGATGTGAGATGATTCCTGGTGGCTGGGTAGAGAATGAATTAGGGATAAGTTGGAAGACCAACTAGGGGAGAGAGACAGCAGAACTTTGTCTTAGGCCTGAGAGAGAGCTGTGGTAATGGAGACAAGTGGTGGAGTCCAGTTTTGAAGGTAGAACTTACTGGGTTTGATGTAAGAACACGAGTCAAGGATGACACAGCTTTATGGTTTGAGCAACTGTGAAAATGAGGGTGCTGTTTTGAGAGATGAATAATGCAGGAGGAGCAGGTTTGTGAAAAGATGATATGTTCAAGTTGGGACATGTTCAATTTAATTTTCTGCTATTTTAATATCTTCTGAGATTTCAAACCTTAGAGTAAAATGCTTTCAGAGCTATTAACTCTTTTTGTATGTGTGAGAGAGAAAGATTTTAACTCCTTTAGGAACCTACAGACCTTAAATAAATGGGAATGTACAAAAAGTGACATGCAATTTTGGATCTTCACAGAACCACCTTTAACTCAGCCATTATCATCATCATGGCTAATATTATTGACTATTGACTATGGATCAGGCTCTGAGCCCACCATGTGAGCAAAGCAGACACAATTCCATTTTAGTGGGAGAAATGCCAGAAATAAATAGATCGATTCACATTATAGATGATACACGTAAGAAGAAGAGCTGGGTGAGATGATAGAAAGCTCCAAGGGAGAAAGATCTCAGAGGCAGCATCACGATATCAGGATATTTGCCTGAATCTACACCCACTCTATAGAGACCTATAGAATGGGTGTAGATTCAGGCAAATATCCTTAAGGAGACTATTCCGAACACAGAAAAGCATGTGCAAAGGTCTTAGGGGTGAGCCTGGCAGGTGTGGCTCAGTGGTTTAGCCTTGACCTATGAACTAAGAGGTCATGGAATTCGATTCCTGGTCAGGGCACATGCCCGGGTTGTGGGCTCTGTCTCCAGTAGGGGGTGTGCAGGAGGCAGCGGATCAATGATCTCTCTCCTCTCTCATCATTTATGTTTCTATCTCTTCTCCCTTTCTCTCTGATATATATATATGACTCATCATTTTTTTAAAAATATATTTTTTATTGATTTTGTACAGAGAGGAAGGGAGAAAGATACAGAGTTAGAAACATCGATGAGAGAGAGTCATCGATCAGCTGCCTCTTGCACACCCCCTACTGGGGATATGCCTGCAACCAAGGTACATGCCCTTGACCGGAATCGAACCCGGGACCCTTCAGTCCCCAAGCCGACGCTCTATCCATTGAGCCAAACCGGTTTCGGCATGACTCATCATTTTTGAAGAACTAAAATAGCGCCTGAGCAGCTAGATTGTAGTAAGAAGAGTGGCAGATGCCTTGGGAGAGGTGAGCAGGGTCAAAACTATGAACTTGTTCATAGTCTTTATCTTAAGAGTATTTGGAAGCCATTGGCCGGCTATAAGCTGAGAAAGACTAAGTCATAGACCACTGGCTGCGATGAAAGGAATGGATTATAATGGGATAAGAGAAGAACAGAAGAGGCTGCTGCCTCAACCCAGCCCAGAGGTGATGATAGTCCTTGCATTTGGGTGGTGGCCATGGAGAGGACACATGTAAGATGCTTTTTGGAGATAGAATCAGCAGGATGGATTGGATGCAGAAGGTGGAGGGGTGGGAGAAGTCAAGGGTTAAGCCCGGTTTCCGGCTTCAGCAACTAGGTACATGGAGGTGCCAGTTACTGAGTTTCATTTGGTGGATGGATGGGGAGTTAAAATCAAGAGTTCCATTTAGGTCAGAGTTTGAGGTGCCTTTGAGAGATCCAAGAGATGTCAAATAAGCAACTGGATATACATCTGGGTTCAGAAGGAAGGATTGGGGCACATAGTACATGAAATAGGGACACTAGCACAGAGTCAGTATTTAAAATTTGGGGAATGGGTGAACTCACAAGGAAAGGGCCCAGAAGCAAGCCCAGAGGACTAACCACAGCTAACAAACATTGTACCTCAGATTGTGGCTCGAAGGCAGAGATAGAAACGGTGCCAGAGAAAGTGTGGCCAACCTCTAACTCTGTGTCCCTTTCTTTCTACAGTGGACGGAGGCTATGGCTACCTGAAGGACTCCATGTGGTGGGCCGGATTTCTCACCAGTAAGTGGGGGCTTTGCTACCAATGAAAGTGACCTACTGATGGCAGAGGCAGAGGTGAAAGGAAGGGTGGAGGGGACGCTTCTGTCACCAGTGAGCAAAGTTTGAATATGAGGCCCAGGTTTTCAGGGGAAACCTGAGAGTCTTTGCAGATAGAACAGCTTACCTGCATCTCAGATCACATTCTCAACCCTAAGTCAATTTTTCATCCATGAAGCATCTGTTCCCAGAGAGGTTTGTACAGAGCTGGTCCTGATAAAAGAGCAATTTCTCAACCTCCCCTGAAATGTAGGGGGATATCATTGTCTGTTGGCATCTCTTGGACTTCTCTATAACAGAAGCTGGCGCTCCTGAGCCAGTTCCTCCATTCCACAGGTAATCTGTGGATTCACTTAGCACAAGGCTGGCCTGCCCCTTAAGGTTTGCCCAAATTTTTACATTCACACGGTTCCACCCACCCTCTCTGGCTTTTAAGCCCTAATTCTTTCAGATGGGAAATTAGCCAGCTTTCCATTTATAATTCCCCACTTCGCGTTTTGATTCTAGTCCTAGCCGGAGCTATCCCATTTATCATCTGCTTTCAAAGGGCAGACCCGTCATTCTCCTCCAGCGGAGAGACAGAAGAGGCACGGCAGGAGTCTGCAAGCGGAGGAGAATGGGGCCCTTTGAGAATGTCAAGCTTTCTAACCACCCGCCTCTGTTGTAAACCGCCCACAGTCCCTCTGGGAAAGATGACTCTGGACCAGTTGGTACCTGGAGAATTAATAACTGTAACTGTTTCTTTACTTGATAATTAACACTTTTTAAAACTTATCTTGCTGAAACTGGTTTGGCTCAGTGGATAGAGCGTCGGTCTGCAGACTGAAGGGTCCGAGGTTCGATTCCGGTCAAGGGCATGTACATTGGTTGCAGGCACATCCCCGGTAGGGGGTGTGCAGGAGGCAGCTGGTCGATGTTTCTCTCTCATCGATGTTTCTGGCCCTCTGTCCTCTCCCATCCTCTCTGTAAAAATTCAATAAAATACATTTAAAAAAAAAAAAAAAAAACAACTTATCTTAAAGATACAGAGCACATATTGGCAGTCCTTGAGACACACTTAACTGTGCCTGGACTAGAAGCCAAGAGACCTCAACAATAAGATCATGTCTGCTCACAACCATGTCATGTGACTTTGAACTCCGGGCCTCACTTCCCCATCTTTAGCATGGAAAGATTTGATCAGGATGACCTGGGCCTCGCCTCCTGATCAGATTCTTCAGGGAGAGAGCATGAGGATCTGGACTTTAAGGGCTGCTAGTCTGGGGTTCTGTGAATGGCCCAGCACTGAATGAAGCCGTCTCCACCCAGATTCATTTGGGCTGGAGATGGAGCATTGGAGCCGCTTTTCTCCCTTCATTTCCTAGTGGCTGCTGGAGAAATCGCCAACTTCGGGGCCTACGCATTCGCTCCTGCGACAGTCATCACACCTCTGGGAGCGCTGAGTGTCCTCATCAGGTTATTGTCACCTCTCTTGCTTTCCCGGGCTCTTTCCTATTTTCAGTTTGTTGAGGTCTGGAAATGCCAAGTGGAGTGAACTGCTACTGGCAATGAGGGACGTGGATCGGTCCTAGCTCCCACAGAAAGCATTATGCTGTTCAGAGCTCTGGCTCCTGTTATTGCTTGCTGCCAGTGGCTCTAGCATCACCTCATCTCACCGGGCAATGGAGGGGCAGGCCAAGTCCAAACCCATGGGAAGGGTTTCCACTGCCAACTGCCCAAACATCTCACGTCAGTGTTTTAGTTCCCCGATAGGAGAAGCTTACAAGTGAAAAGCATGAATCCAAGGTGAACACACCCTGAGTTCTCATCGTAGCTCTACCACTTTGCAGTTACGTTACCATCTGCAAGTCACTTAACCTCTCTAAGCCTCTGTTTCCCCACCTGCTAAATGAGGATGCTAATAACACCTACGTCAGGGCGTGGTCACAAGGACTAAATAAGATCGTGCACAGAAAGTGCATAGTTAGACTGGCATTGAAAAGGAACCATGGCTAACATATATGAACGGCTTACTACATTCTAGATATTCTAAATGAATTCCGTGTAGTAACTCATTTAATCCTGTCAGCATCCCTGCTAAAAGTAGGGGAGACCTGAGGCCCAGAGAGGTTAAGCAATGAACAAGGTCACGCAGGTCCTAAGAGGCTGAGCTGAGTTTCCCACCAGCAGCTGAGCTGAGTTTCGCACTCTAATGTGAGTCTGGGTGCTCAGCCACTGTGCTATGTTGCCTTGCAAACATTAGCTAGTTTAACAAATAACTGATACTCAATGTGTGTGCTTCCCATTGCCCCTTTCCTCCTAATCCACAAACACAATTCTTCTGGGGGTGGGGGTGGGGTGTCCTGTAGCCCCATTGGAAGCTGCCTTGAATTGGCTTAACCTTGGAGCCTTGGGGGATCCTAGCCACCCACACCAGATCTATGATTTCGCAGCTTCGTACTCCTTGATGACAAGCTTTGCAAGACTTACACAGTCAAAAACAACTGCTAGAGCTGTGACTCATCTTGCATAGTTGGCTGCTGTAGCAGTGTTACCACGACTGCCTATCTGATTCATTTACAAATTCCCAGCCGTGGGAAGTTGGGAGGGTCGGAAGTCCTCCAGGGTGTGACCTCTGCTCACGCAAAGGCACCAGGCTCTCTTGAACAGGCCGAGTGGATAAATTGTTTTTGGTCTTTTTAGAGGAGAGATGGGAGCTTGGACATTAATCCCCTCCAACTGGACCTAGGTCAGAAACAGATTTTTACTTTAAACACATCCTTTGTAAAGAAACAAAAGCATGCCCCAGCAATTATATCATTCTTGCCCGATTTCCCTCCCTTTTCCCTTCTTCTGTCACCTCTACTAGCTCATCTGGAAGATGTGAGGGGAATGAAAATTACATAATCTAGGAACAGCAAGGAAGTAGGGATACTTTGCCCAGAAAAAGAAAGAAAGGAATATATGTACTACTATATGTAATACTGAGAGAGAGAGAGAGAGAGAGAGAGAGAGAGAGAGAGAGAGAGAGAGAGAGAGAGAGAGAACTGGAAAAAAAAAAAAAGGAAAGGAAGAGGAGACTCAGGGGAGTCATGAGAATTCTCTGCAGTGATGTTTAGAGGAAAACCCAGAGGCTTTAAAATGAGACAGAACTGGAGCTCAGATCCTGGCTCAGCTACTAACCAGTCGTATGACCTCTCCAGGTTATTTTAACTTCTGTGAGGCTCAGTTTTCTCATCTATATAATGGGGAGAACATATGCTACTTCTCAAGGAGTCGTGAGATGCTAGTGAGATAATAAAAAGTTCCTAGTGTAATACATAGTATGTAACACAGACCTGAGACACAGGCCTAGAATTGTTATTGTGGTTGTTTAGATTGACATACAAAAAGGAAAAAGGAATAGATTTGTTCTGCATGGCTCAAGGAATAGAAATGGAATAATGAGTACAAATTGCCATAATTTTGGTGTATAATTAAAATGAGCCTACAGTGAATTCATTTGCCTTGTGAAGAGGTGAGTTGCTTGCCATCAGAAGTATACAAGCCGAGGTTGAAAGCCATCTGTTTGCAAAGACGTGTTCATCGGGTAGGAAATTAGACAAGCGTGCTTTGAAGGACTCTTCCACATCTTCTGTTGTGGAATACTTCTAGTCTCTGAGAGAAAGGAACTCCCAGGCATGTCCTCAGTCCCACCAGCACACACCATAACCCTCAATCAGTGAGGGCTTTGGGAGAGTCTCGAAAAGCTTCCCTGTGAGAGAGGAGTGTGTCCTATGTTGTTCTCGGGGACCACCTGCTCAGACCCTATTTCTCTCCTGGGAGCTGCACAGGCCCAGCTGCCTCATCGCTCCCTCCCATTCCCACCTGCAGTGCCATCCTTTCCTCCTATTTCCTGGGAGAGAGCCTGAACCTGCTGGGGAAGCTGGGCTGTGTGATCTGTGTGACCGGCAGCACAGTGATGGTGATACATGCCCCCGAGGAGGAGAAGGTCACCACTGTCATTGAGATGGCTGCCAAGATGAAAGACACAGGTAGGCTCCAACCTTCTCCCCCACCCCCCCCCCGGGTCCTCCCCCCTGCCTGCCCCTCACCCCTTCTCCCTCCACCCTGAGCAGGAAAGCCCTGGGGGATGAACCAAGTAGGAGGGCTGACTGGGTTGGGAACATCTCAGGTGCTGCCACCTGGAGGCGAAGACAAGCTAAAGAAAGGTGGTGGTTGGTGCTTATAGGTTTCCCAGCCTGATATCTATCCACCCATTTATTCAGTGTTTATTTAGTATGTGCCAGGCACTGTGCTGAATGCTTTATCTGCATTGTCCAGGGGTGGGGAACGTCCAGCCCGTGGGCCATGTAAGGCCCATGAAATCATTTGGTCTGAACCTGCCAAAGCATTACGGGTGAGTTAATGAAATGTTTGACCAAAGAGAGCAGACTAATCTTTAAGTGGATACTTTTGTATGACCTGAGAATGATGTTATAAATATCCAAATGGCACTTGGCAGAAAAAAGGTTCCCCACCCCTGGCATTGTCTTAGCCAGTTGTGGCTGTTATAATAGAATACTGTAGCCTGGCTGGCTTATAAACAACAGCAATTACTTCCCATGGTTCTGGAGGCTGGAAAGTCAGTGATCAAGGTGTCTGGCGAAAGCTGACTTCTAGATTCATAGAAACCATCTTCCTACTGTGTCCCATGAGCAGAGGGGTCGAGGGAGTTCTCTGAGGTCCTTTAATAAGGATACTAATCCCATTCATGAAGGCTCCATCCTCATGACTAAAGGCCCCAACCCCAAATACTATCACTTTGGGGATTATGTTTCAACATACGAATTTGGGGGGGACACATTCTGTTTTACAGCATACATTATCTCATCTAATCCTGTGAGAAAAGCTCTCTGCGGAAGGTCTTTTTTTTTTTTTTAATCTTTATTGTTGAAAGTATTACATAGGTCCTCCTCCCCACCTCCATTAGCCTCTTCTAGCTCCCATCCCCCTCCCCCTCACCACCCCATTGTCCATGCCCACGGATTATGCATATATGCATACAAGTTCATTGGTTGATCTCTTCCCACCCGCCCTCCCCAGGAAGGTCTTATTATTAGCCTTAGTTTACAAATGAGGAAACCATAGCCATGGGGTTTCTCTGTCCCCCTCTCCTCTGAAGGGTACATCGTGTTTGCTGTGCTGCTGCTGGTCTTCTGCCTCATCCTCATTTTCGTCGTCGCCCCACGCTACGGACAAAGGAACATCCTCGTCTACATCGTCATCTGCTCTGTGATCGGGGCCTTCTCGGTGTCTGCCGTCAAGGGTCTGGGCATCACCATCAAGAACTTCTTCCAGGGGCTGCCCGTGGTGCGGCATCCGCTCCCCTACATCTTGTCCCTCATCCTCGCCCTCTCGCTCAGCACTCAGGTCAACTTCCTCAACAGGGCGCTGGACATCTTCAACACGTCCCTGGTGTTCCCTATCTACTACGTGTTCTTCACCACCATCGTGGTCACCTCCTCCATCATCCTCTTCAAGGAGTGGCACAGCATGTCCGCCGTGGACATCGTGGGCACCCTCTCGGGCTTCGTCACCATCATCCTGGGTGTGTTCATGCTTCATGCTTTCAAAGACCTGGACATGAGCCAGACACGCTTGCCCCACATGCACAAAACCCCTACCCCTGTCCCCACCCCCGAGCCCACCATCATCAGACTCGAAGACAAGAATGTCCTCGTGGACAATATAGAGCTCTCCAGGACCCCCTCGCCAGAAGAGAAGTCCAAAGTATTTACCGTCCATTCTTAAAGCTCAGGGATCCTGAGTGACGATGAGCCCCGTGGTGCAGCCTGGCTTCCTGGCGTGGGGAGTTATATTCGGCACAGCTGTCACCGGTGGGCTCTCTTCGCTGAGACGTTCATTTATACCTCATCGCCGTTTCCAGGAGGAAAACCCGTACCCAGTGTGTGGTGGGGACAGAACTTCTTGGGATCACAGCTTCAGTGACCTAGCTTATACTGCTTATACTGCTGCCAGGAAGATCCCTGAACCTCCCTTCCCACATGTTTCCTGGGTGCCATCTGTATGTGGGTGGGAAGAAGACAGAATCTGACCTGTTGAATGTAGCCCAGTCTAAGGACTTCCCTGAGATGTTGGTCGACAGGAAATCCTCAGCGCCATTTTCCTGAGACTGACTCGCCATTCCTCAGCCCAAAGACTGGCTCAGGGCCATCGCCATGCCTCCCTGTCCAGAGACACAGCTAAGGAAAAATGTCTTGCTGCTTTCACTGCTTCCTCTTTCTTTGGAGACAGAAGTAAGACCTCAACTGATCTTCTTACTGTGAAAGTCACCTGGTGTCTCAGGGAAACATTTTCACCAGCCCCACTCTCCAGTCCAGAAGTCAGTATCTTCGTTCCCACTGCCTCCTCCCCCATGCCTGACCTTCTCCTCTGTCCTTACATCTTAAGGAGTCCGTTATTGCGATGTTCAGGCAGTTATCTCAGAACTCAAAGCAAAGCGACAACCACAACAAAAGATGCTTCACAGTCAAGCTCTGCTAGCCAAACCCAGAGTGTCCTTCTGCCTCAGAGAACGGCAATGGCACTGCTCTTAAACGTGCCCTGTCGAGCTATTAGCAGATGCACTTTTCTTTTCGTCGAGGAGTGAAACAATATTTGGGAGATGGGGAGAGTGAAGAGCAAAGTCAGGATTTGGCAGGAAGCAGCCACTGGCTCCATGGAAACCAGGAGCTAACTTTTGTGTTTACTTTGGTGCCCAACCAACTCCTCAGGCAGAGAGGACTCTGGGTAATTTCTGGGCTCCAGCCTTAGAGGCTTGGCCATTGGGACCAGCCTTGAACTCCAGAGACCAAGTGGGGTGTAGGCTTGGCACAGGAGCATCTGGCTGTCTACCAGATTGCCACCAAGCCCCAGTTCCCCTGATGAGCTGCCCATCTGGGAAGCAGTATGTCATGATGCTCCAACACCACCTGCTTTGGGGACTGCTGTTGGTCCCCTCACTTGGCCAGAGGCATTCACAAAACAGGAGCAGCTGGAGAGGGAGATACCTGATATCCTTCCCTTCAAGCTTTCCAGCTGCAGGAGAGTGTGAGTTGGTACAAGAACTACTGAATAGAGCCAAGTGTCTGTAAAGAGGAAGAAGCTGACCCTCAGTCTCTGAGCTGGGACAGCTCCTCCCCTGAGAGTTCCCTGCTGCACTGTGTTTACATACCACCTTCCACCCACCCCCTCACCCCCACCTCCCACCCTCACTCCAAACCACCCCCCCCCCCAGTGCAGCCAAGCCCAGGCCAGTGTCTTGCTGGCCTTGGAACTCCCAAGGTGCAGCTGACCAACAGGATGGCTTCCTGCTCCTCCTGCCTCAAATCCCCAGTTGTTAAGGAATGTGGATTTCTGTCTGTAACTAAAATCAGTGCAGCATGTTGGATTTTGGGAATAGCGGTAATCTGAGGGCCCTGAGAGTGTGGTCTGCAGGGTCAAGAATAAAGACCTTCGGGTGTGTTTACTTTAGACTTGCGTCTTAGCCTTCCTTAAACACGGAACAATTAATTACCCTGGTCCCTCTAGTGCTGGGAAGCCGGTCCAGATCTCGGGAGGGTTGTGGCTTCCAAGGAAGTTCCTACAGCGGAAGGCTGGTTAGGGAACAGTCAGTCAGCCTGAGCCCTTACAGCATGCTAAGAGCTTCATGTAAATTCTCTTATGTCCTCCCAAATCCTCAAGGCAGATTTTTTTTTATCCTCATCTTATATATGAGGAAAGGGTCTCAGTCAGAGGTTAAGAAATCGCCCAAGGCCACACAGCCAGGAAGAGTCCATGTTGATATTTGGCTCCAAGTCTGCAGTCTTAACACCCAGGCACAGTCTGATCTTATTCTGCTCATGTCTTCTGTGATCTGTGCTGTCACTGCCTCGGAGTACAGAGCGACCACCCAGGCCCGGGTGGATGTCCTAAGCACATTGCTGGGACTCATAAAAACCTTTATTGAACGAAGGAACAATACCATTCCAAATAGCCTTTTTTTTTTGCCCAAACTCTCTTGTGGACCAGCTCTCAACCCAGAGTAAGATCTAATCGAACCCCATGTTCAGCTCAGACACGGATGTCATCTCTGAGCATTTAGCCTGGGCCAGCCCTAGCTGAGCAGGCTCCCGCAGGGCACTTTGCTAATGAGCACAGCATTCCCAGAGGCGGGAGTTAGTCTCACTTGCATGAAAAGGAGACTCGGGGCTCTGGAACGTATCCCCTCTCACACAACTAGCAAGCAGCAGAGGCAGAATCTCAACCCAGGTCTGGGCAGGTCTTTATTCTTGACCCTGCATATGGCTCCGTGTCTGAACAGTGGTTGGCTTCGATGATGCGTTAGGCAGGCAGGGCTGTTTGGTGGGGGCTTTCATGAGCAGGCACCTTAGGAGGCAGGGCCCTAGTGTTTGAGGTTTTTGATGTCCTTAGGCAAATTCACCACTAGAAAAATAGGATCAGAATCAAGGACCCTCCCAGGGCTGCTGTGAAGAATAAATGAGGTGAAGTGGCACACGGAGCCCAGCTGGGTAAGTATTCAGTAAATGCTTCCTGCTATCACGGTTATGCGGATCCTGTCTGAGAAAGCCTCAAACTTGATGTGGGTCCAATGAGGGAGTGAGAGGGGGACCCTTTCATGGTTTGGGAAGCCTAATGGATGAGCTCTGGAGTCTGAAAGCACACTCCCCCTCCCCCTCCCCAGGCCAATAGTCAGGGGCAAGTCCTCTCTCTTTGACTCTTGAAGTGTACGATTCCTAGCAGTTAAGATGAGAACAGAGGTTCTCGGCTGCCTCTTAAACTCATACCAGGGAACCCCAGAATCATTCAAACCTTTCCTGACCCAGACCTGATTAAACTAGAGCAGCCTATGTCCAAGTGCAGACTTTGACTGGTCTGGGGCAGCCCAAGGCCTGTGTACGGCTACAGCTTCTCCCATTGAGGCTGCAGGCTGTGATCTCTGTGGGAGCTCTCCCGAGGAGTCTCCAGGCAACAGATCCTCTCCAGGCTGAGCAGCAGGACATTCAAACAGACAAGGAATAGCCAGACCAGACATTTCAAATGACAATTTAGTTTAATTAAATACAAACACGGGAAAAAGGCACCATGGCCCATTCAAGTATTTTGCATAGATGTACAAATACTGTAAACAATTACTAGGTGGACGAGAGAGAGAGAGAAGATGATCTGTTTCCTATGAACAATCTCCCATATAAAAGAAAATTCACATTGCCCTGGATCTCAGACACACACACACACACACACACACACACACATACACAGCGGATGGTGTGAGACGATGCGGGGAAGGGGAGCTTTGGGGGCACCTGGCTTAGATCCTGCAGAACCCCTCTTAGCACCTTTCTAGTCGGCATACCCGTGGGCTTCCTGGGGTGTCCAGCAGAGATACTATACACGCAGTTCACACAGTCCCTGACTGCAGAACTGGTCCTCAATTTAAATAATCAAGTCTGCCATCCCCTCTGCCAAATTCGAATTTGGACATGGGCAAGGGGAAGGAGGCTGTATTCAAAAGGATTATTGCAAGAGGCAGCAAGGGCAGTGGCTACTGCAATCCCACGAGACCTTAAGCATCTCAGAGCTGGGGCAGAAAGGACTCTTCTTTTACAGAGAGAAGTAAACAAGGCCAAAGAGAATCCAGGCTGGCAGGTAGTTCCCACCTGGAGCCCCGGGCCTGGCCTGCTGCTCCCGCCCAGACAGGCAGGGAGCCAGGCGCTGTCTCCCTGAGGTCCCCTGAGGTTTACATTTCAGAGATGGCTCCCAGGCTCGTAAGGAAAACATTTCCAAGGCTGTAAAACAGGCAGAAGGCTAAATTGGCTTTTAAAAAAAGATTTATACGCAGCTTCATCTGAAAAACGCGCTGGTTAACTCAGTCCACGAAACCTTTGCTATGCTCCTCCTCTCCTCTCCACGGGGCTCTGAACCTGGACCCACCCTCAGCCCAACATACAGCTTCTGCCCCAAAAGGCCGAGCACAGGATGGTCCCTGAATACACCTCTCTCACTCCTCCCTGCGAAAGCAAAGGCCTTTCTTTTGGAGCTCTGGGAGGCGGGCAGCCCGGGCAGCGGCTTGCCTGAGCATTCTCCTGGCTGAAATATTCCCTTTCCCAGTCTTGCAGTGATCCTTTCAAATACAGCCCCTCCTTCCTCGAGTCCGGATCTATCTTTGCAGCACATGGGCGCAGCATGGCAGGTTCTGCTCCTGGGCAGCCCCCGTGGCCTGCCAGAGTGGGGACTCCTGGCCCCATACACAGAGCCCAGAGTGAAACAGCCAAGAGAACCGGCTGCCAAAAATCTACCAAATTTTAAAAAATCCTACCGTCTTCCAGTTCACAGTACAATTTTATGGGATGCAGGTGGTAATAATGGAAAACAAAAACAAAGCAAAACAAGAAAGCAACAACCCAGATCTCTTTGGGCTACGGTTCCAGAGTGAGTGGACTTCAGGTTCAAAAGGCTCAAGCAGCCACAGGGCTGTGCATTGCCCCTGCAGGGCTATCTGCCTCCTGACGCAGAGGGAGAAAAGCTGGACACGCCACAGGAGAATCTGTGAGCCAAGGGGTGACTTTCAGGGCGATTTTTTTTTTTTTGCAGGGGGTTGTTTACATTTCTGGGATCCAGCATTGAGGCCTGGACGTTTGCAGTACCACACTTCAACGACAGGTGGCCCCTGACTTAACTGACAGCAAGGAAGGCAGAAATTGGCTATGGGGGAGGCCACCAGGGCCCATGTCAGGGAGATGGGGCGTGAACATCATGACTACCTGAGGGAAGAGACCCCATTTCCCTGAGACCTTCTAAACCCACCGATGTGTGACCCCAGGTACAGATCCCAAATCTCCCGCTTGCCTACAAACCCAAGCTATTGAGCACCTGTTGTGTGCAGAGAACTGTAAGGGGTCAGGGGCGAGAGCTCAAGTCTCTTCTGTGCACTGAGGTTTCCAAGAGCACCTTCCTGGGGTGGCAGTTCCCAAAGAACATTAAAGCAACAAGTGGTCTGACTGTGCAGAGCACCACACAGACCTCCCTCCCTGCTCCGGGGAGGGCAGGACCCTCTGAGCAGCGTCCGAGGCTGCCCCGAGTTCTCTTTGTGAGGGCAGGTAAGGCAGTGACCAGAGAGAACGCAAGGAAGTAGAGCCTAAACAGCCTGGTTGGCGCCAGCTCAGACACTCTTCCTTCGAGAACGCCGATTGCTGCTTCTTAGGGTACAGATCCTCTAGAGAGAGGGCTGCTCTGGGCACAGACTGGGGTTCCTAGGATATCTGCTCCCTAGGTCACTGTCCTGCTGCCGTCCCTGCCCCTAGGGACCTTGCTTAGGTTCAGGTCAGGGAGTAAGGGGAAGACACTCACCCTTCTGAGGTCACAAAACACAATGGAAAATGAAGCCACGCCCCCACAGCCAGGGCCCGAGTCCACTTTGGTCAACACCCGTGAGAACCAATGGAGCGAACCCTCGGGCAGGACATAAGCACCAGGTTCCCAGGAAGTCAAAACGGCTGTGGGTGCACTCCCCGCAGCACCTCACACAGGGCGGGTCCAAGCGGGAGAAAAGCAAGTGCAGAAGACAATGGCAATCAAGAATGATCATGAGTTGGGAGTCGAAACCTTTGGCATTACGGCTCAGGGGAGGCCTGGTGCTCCCCCTGCTGTCGACATTGCCTACAACTAGTACCTGTCTGAGTCGGAGAGACCCGAGAAATAAGGGGATGTGGGATGCGGGAGGGCAGAGGAGGGAACTAGACTTGTTCCCCGTGTGGATGCAGAGCCAGAAGCTGTGACGCCCACCGAGCCAGGGGCAGGGACACAGCAGCGGCTGGTGTGACCCTCAGTCTCAGAGCTATGAAGGATGGGTAAGTGCCCAGCCTCCGTCCAGCTGGGGACCTTCAGGGAGACAAGCTCTGGGAAGGTCCCGTGCATACCTTCCACCATGGGACGGGCCGAGGATGGACGGCTCCTCCACGCTAAGTCCTGACCTGAAGGCCTGAGGGGACTTTTCCCAGCCGGGCTCCTCAGCGCAGACAGCCTGGGCCTGGGCAGCACTGCAGTGAGGGGCCAGCAGAAGGGAGGTTGGAGGAGAAGCTACCATTCATCCTCTCCCGGGTGCCCTCTCCTCGCCGGGCTGCATATTGCACAAAACAACACTTGGATGCCGTTGGGAGGATGGGGCCTCTGGGCCTCCGAGGAGGCTGGGGAGGCAACGAGTCAAGGAGATTTTCGGAGATGCGGTGTCTGGGAGGAGGGGCTCGGAGGTGGCTTCTTCCGGGCTGTGATGTTCAGAGTCCCGGGAAAGGGAGCAGCCCCTTACACAGGTCTAGATTCTTGAGTTAGTCATCCACCCGGCCCTCTGCGCTGTGTAGTCAGGGAACTGTGGAAAGAGAGGGAGTTGGGGGGAGACAGGCATCAGCTACCTGCGACTGGTGGTGTCCCCTGGGGCGCGGACAGGTCAGATGCATGACAGACGAATGGCTTCCCGTGACATAACTCCGCATGGGGGTGCCCCACCTCGAGCTGACAAGCCACTTCCCTTCCTCCCCGAGAAGCTGCAGCTCAGTCCACAGACTTCCCGGGGCCCCCTGGGAACACGGGGAGTCAGCCAGCTTCCTCCCCTCCCCTGTTGCTCCGACTCCCAGGCCTGGCAGGCGGAGAGCAGGTCAGCCCGGGGAAGGGAGAGGAGGAGTCACTGTGCACATCCGACCAGAGGCCGGCAATCCGTGAACGGCCTTGGCCTTCATGGCAGAACTGGGAGGACCGGGGGGGGGGGGGGGGGGGCTACTTCTTCTTGCCTCTTTCCAGGAAAGGAATCAGGCTCAGAGCCACCCAGACAGTCGGGTGCAGATCCAGGTGTGAAGCCATCAAAGCTCAGGCTCCTAAGCATCACTTTCCACATGAAACAAAAAGACCCCTATCCCCTGCTTAAGGGACAGTCACACAGGCACCGAGAAACACTACGCTTCTGTCCTTGGCCTTGGTTCAAAAGCTCAGCCCTCCAACAGGAAGCGTGAACTCCGGGTGTTTTCTCAATCACTGTCTTGGCCCCCGGATCCTCTGGCTTTAGCTTGACCTTGAGGGCTTCTGCAGACTCACCTTTGAGGCAGGCGCTAACAGAGGCCAGGACTGCTGAGGGCGGCCCGCGGCGGTGGGTGGCAGGATGGCGGCCCCGCCGGGCCTGGAGACACCGTTCTTGCGGCCTGGCACGGGGTTTGCCGGGAGCGCCTTCTGAGGCGGCCGAGGCCTGGAGATGTCCTGGGGAGAAAGCCACAGCCTCACTCATGGCCCCGGGGGGGCCTGTTCTAAAGGTTTTCCCATTATGCCGGAGCAGAATGAGGTGAGAGAGCAGACATGCTCTCCTATACGCTGCCATGTAAAAAGCTGTGTGCAGCTCTGTGTTAACACTCAGGAAAAAGCCTTGGAGAGCACGTTGGCAGCACCTAGGAACACGAGAAAGAACCATTCTCCTATCGAGCCCTCCCACTTCGTATGACTCAGGTTAGAGAACCACCTGCACAGATGCACAAAAGTGAGATGACGAGGATGGTCCCTCCAGCACTGTTGGTGACAGCCAAAAAAACTGTAGATGGCCATAATTTCCATCGGTAGACAAATGACTGCATGTATACAGTGACTGAGGAGGCAGCCTTTAAAAGGTAAATGAAGTAGGCTGAGATGTGCTAACGTGGGAAAATGACCGAGAGTCACTGTGAGCTGACCTATAAGCTGCAGCAGCGAGTTCACGTAAAATCTGCCACCACTGCCTCTCCCCCGTCCCCGGGGTAAACACAACTGTACGGAAGGAAGTCAGGAAGGACACAGGCCACACTGATAACTGAGGTTAGGGATGGGGTGTGAGCACGGAGGGCGTTCACCCAGGAGAACATGTAATTTTTTCCGCAAGCCCATGTATGCGCATCATTTGTGCAAATAAAGTGGGAAAATGACCGGTTGGCTATGAGGGGAAGTGAACAGGAATTCTTTTCTCTGTGCTTTTATGTTACCTTCATGTTTTATCACCTTCTCCATAAGGCCATCCCAGACCATCTTATTTAAAATTAACTCCCCACCCTTCCTGGTCAGTGCCTTGGCGTGAGGCTGACACCATCTTTATTCAACAAGCCTCCAGTGTGGGGGTCACAGGGACAGCTGTCTCATCAGACTGCTCCCTCTGACTCTCCTCCCGCACCTCTGTACTCCCCTCCACACCCTGCCGCTTGCCCTGCTTTCTCCCTTCTTGCTCCTCTTCTCTCCTGCACCCCCTCTGTTATGGGCTAAACGGTGCCCCTTCACATCCGTGTGATGCAGCCCTAACCCCCAGTACCTCAGAACGGAGCTGTCTATGGAGAGCGCGCATTGAAAGGGGCGATTAAGTTAAAAACGAGGCCCTAATTCAATCCCCCTGGGACACAGGGACGCGTGGGGCACACATGCACGAAGGAAGGACGTGGGAGAAGCCAAGGAGAGAGGCCTTAGATGAAACCAAATCTACTATACCTTGATCATGGACTTGTAGCCTCTAGACGGTGAGAAAATAGATGTCTATTGTTTAGGTTACTGGCCTGTGATGTTTGCTACGGCTGCCCCAGCAGACTAACGCGCTCCCATCTCCTCCCCTCCCCTCTCTGCCAGTCTTTCCCCTGCCTCCCTGTCCACACAGCTTCTCCCCTCCGCCCTGCCCCCGCCCCAGTTTCAGCTTATCGGAGAACCAAACCCGGCGCTCTGATCTCTGCCAAAAGGTGACACTGCCTGTATCCCAGGGGCCCCCTGAAACCTGGTGCCAACCCCAGTCCCAGGTTCAGAGAAAGGCTGGGACCTCGTGACGCCCTCTGGACCGTGCCCAAGAAAAGCAGTCCCGAGAGGAAAATAAGCAAATCCCCCGCTCCTCGGTGGGGTCACACCCAAAATACAGTTTGGCTCGGGAAGGCTGGCCACCGCCCTGGAAACATCTGGGTCTGCCTGCGGGGACCTCTGCCAGGAGGTACAGTTGCGGCTGCAGAGCACAGGCGCCGGGTAAACAGGCAGCCGGGCGGGGCTGCTCGGCTTCCGAAGGGCACCCGTGGGAGTACGGCCCAGGCCCACTCACCCCCTGCAGGCCCCCCAGGAGCCAGGCGTCACGGCACACCCCTCCTCAGGCTTCCTGACTGGGGGACGGCACCCGTCGGTACCATTTGGTGGGGTAATTATGAAGATGAGGGAAGTCTGGGGCTGCCACATCCAGGCTCCCGGGGTCAGAGGAGGCCTCCTGGGAGAGGTGGCACCTGAGGGGGGACCTGAGGATGAAGAGGAGCTGGGCATTCAGCAGAGGAAACAGCCTTTGCAAAGTCCTAGAAGAGGGAAGGCGACCGTGCGGAACTGGGAGAAGTTACTTTGGGGTGGCAGATGAGTGGGTAGTGACTTGTCACAAAATAGGCCATCCAGGGAGGAAATCCTCTGTAGGTTTGGGGCTGTCTGGGAACATATTTCCCCAGACTCTTCACTCTTACCCTGTAGTTACCAGAACGCAGAAAAAGCAGCCAAGCTCAGACTTAGCGAGTTCCCCCTTCCCAGTCAGCCTCAGTCACCCTCCATGCCAGTGGCCTTCAAAGCAATGTCCCCGGCTTTTTGCTGAGCACCCGCTTACCTGGGAGAGGATGCAGTTTGGGGCGGGGGGCATTGGCCGGGTTGGCGGAGGCCTCCGGGCTGACTCTTTCCTCTCTACTTGGGGCCCAGCCCCAGGGGGGTTCCTAGGAGGCCTGAGGAGATGTGCCGGCAAAGGCACAGGTGGGGAGCTGCCCTGCAGATAGTCCGGAGGCGGCACAGGAGGCTTCCGTGGGGGTTCAGGGGTGTTGATCACCTGTATGCACAAGACAAGGAACATCTAAGACAAAGGAACTCTCAGTGCACTTAAAAACTCAGGGGAGCCCTTGTGAGACCAGAGGCAGAGGGAGAACTGAGTGACTTCTTAAATCCCTGGGATCCCAGAGGTCAGATGGGGTTTTTTATTATCAATTTCACAAACCACAGAGGCTATTGGGAAAACCCAGTAGGGTCTTGATGATAAAGGAAATGTAGCAAAGTTCAAGGTGCAGAGTCCTTACCTTTCGCTTGCCCTGGGGGGTCTGCAACTTGAATGTTGGGTTGGCATGTCCAGTTCCACTGTTCTGAGACACCCTGAAAGGACAACTAGCAACAAGGAGTGGGGGAAGAAGGAATGGGGGTGATCATCGAGGGTCAGTGCCTGAGTTCCCTCTCACCTGAGCATGGCCAGTAAACAGCTAAATCCTCCCCCAAGTCTGCTCTGGAGGAAGTGGGATTGGTCCCTCTGGACCCCAGCTCTCTGGGTATGAAGACATGTGGCCAACGGAGAATCCCCAGGGTTTCAACCCAGAGTTTTCCTCAGCACCTTCTCTTCACCCATTTAAGACCTTTCTCCCCAAAAAAGACTCAAGGATGTCATCAACCATCAACTAATCCCCCTTAGGGCATCGATTCAGAGGGACCAGGGCTTTAAAATCCCCTGCAGGACAAGTGTCATATAATACGGGACTCAGAGACTAGACATCGTCAATATCCCAAGGGATGAACTGCTTAAAAAAAATTAGTGTTTGTCTTGAGTTGATACCCAGCCGCCCCTGTGAGTGTCCTGGGCTAGTCATTCTTTCTCTGTTGCCTCAGTTTCCTGCTATTTAAAATGGGGAGCAAATCAATTAGGGTGAAGGGTGGAAAACAGAGCTCTTCAAATTTAACTGGTTGGGGGCATTCTGCTAAGAAGGATTCTGAGTGATTACCAAGCTCCGCAGAGAATACATAGAGAAAGGTCGACGAGCACTGACTGATCTGGTCTTGGAGCATGGCCAAGGGGACAGGGTGGCACGCACCTTGCATTGATCTTCCCTGAATTAGACCCACCACCACAGAAAGCGCTATGACCCACAGGAACCCCAAGGCCTTCGTGGCACCCCATCATACCTGAACTGTTGCCTCAACTTGGAGGGAAGGGCAAAGGCCTTGAGCTGGCCCAGCCTGCTGTCCTGCTTGCAGCAGTAGTACATCAGCCCGAGCACGGCCAGCACGAAGAGGGCCGAGAACACACCGGCCAGCACGGGACCTACGCCTGGCAGAACAGAGCCCGGTGAGAGATGCAGGCGCTGCCTGGGCCACCGCAGTGGCTTCCAAGCAACATATCCTGATTCTTCCTCAGATATTTGATTTGCAGTGAATGTATTACTTAATTTAAATTCATACAAATTTATTTTATTTTATTTTAAAAATATATATTTTATTGATTTTTTTACAGAGAGGTAGGGAGAGGGGTAGAAAGCTAGAAGCATCGATGAGAGAGAATCATCGACCAGCTGCCTCCTGCACACTCCCTACTGGGGATGTGCCCGCAACCAAGGTACATGCCCTTGACCGGAATCGAACCTGGGACCCTTCAGTCCACAGATCGACGACACTCTATCCACTGAGCCAAACTGGTTTCGGCATACATACAAATTTGTTTTAAAAAGTTTGAAAACCAAAGGGCCGGAATCTTTGAGGTTTCCAGGAAAACACTGTACATTTTTCTGAGTGTCTGGTTCTCCATTTTAAGTTTTGTTCATACAAGGGAATCTAAAGTACTAGAATGTGCCTCAGGTTCCTGATTATTTTTAAGTGGCTGAGGAGGACTGGTTGACACCCACCCCCAAAACGATAAGATCATTCAGTTACCTATGGTCTGTCTTAATCTCCCTCTCTCTCCAAGAGGGTTCACTCTCCTCAATAGAAAAGACAGAAGAAGAGCAACTGAGCTGAGCCCCACACCGGGCTGCCAGCCTCAGTTGTCCCTCCCCTTCATCCCCTCTTTTTCTTGTTCCCTCATCTACAAAATCAGGATAATATGGCTGACGTATTATTCCTTTGGAACATGCCACCTGTCCCCCTGGTGCCAACATCCCCTCACAAAGGTGGGCAGGCCAGGCACTCACCCTCGGGGGGCATGGGCCCGCTGTCGATGCTGCCCCCAAAGCCAGGCGTGTTGCAGTAGGGTGGGGCCCAGCCCGGGCTGCAGTGGCAGTTCTGGTTGTTGTTGCAGACCTGGAGTGAGGGCCGGGAAGAGGCGTCAGCACCCTGGAGAGTTCCCGCCTCCCACAGGGCCTGCAGCAGGGACACTAGCGGAGGAGCCCCAGAACCCTGGGCACACGTACCCCGTGGCCATTGCACTTCTTCCCGCAGCCTTCGGTTTCAAAGAAGGAGGTGTTCCTGCACTCCCCCTCGAAGCAAATCTGCAGTGAGGAGGAGACCGAACCGTCAGAACAAGCAAAGGGACACTGCTCGACAATCAGAAGACTGGGGCTTTGCACCTAGGACCTATGGGACTCAAAAAGGCAGCTGGCATCAGGTTATGCATTACAGTGAAAATTTGAAACAAACAAAAAAAAAAAGCAAAGGGATGGATAGCAGTTAAGTAACTTTTACTTCTGTGATTAGCAAGAAAACAACAAATACTATACTGTTAAAACAATAACATAAATATCTAATAATATAATAAATATGTTATTACATCCTGTATTATTATATGTTGGTATATGTTAGTTTCTTAATTGTATGCTAATAGGCACTAATTTTAATATTAAATTTTAAAATAATGATGATGGTGACTATTGTGCCAGGTGCTATACAAAACGCATTCTGTATTTTTAAAAAATAATTGCACGCTGAGCAATGGTGCCACTATTTCCCCCAGGCTTTCCTGACTCCTAGTCTTAATTCATATGATATTAATGATGAGGACTACAGTGATGCTGACAGAAGCCAGCCTGTGGAAGTACAGTCATATTAGGCTGGCTGATTCCCTCCTGAGTTCATGCTCCTCCGTCACTGTCCTCTGCAGCCCAAAGACTCACATGGTTGTAGCCACACTTGGTCCCCGTCAGCACCAGGCCTGGGTCCAGCATGTCATTCTCCTCCTCGGTACTTTGGTAGACGTGGATGCCCCTGCACTGGACTTCCCTCCCGTTTATGGTGATGGTGGTGTCGATGGCCACGGCGTTGTACTCCAGGGGCCGGGACTGAGAAGCCTGACACTGGATCTTCCCACACTTGGCATCTCTGGGCCCAAGAGAGAAGGAGGTGGAATCAGAGGCTGGGGAAGAGCTTGGCACAGAAGAGCTTAGTTTTTCTTGACCAGGACAGCAGGCTTGCAAGCCTGGGGAAAGGGCAAAGGAGCAACGGGCATGCTCTCGGGACCCACCAGGAGAGACCCCATGTGGACTTAGACAAAGGGAAAGAAATAGGATCCTTGTCCCCAAGCAGATCCAGGCTGGAGCGCTGGCCTTAGGGTGTCCACTTTCCTGCCAGGACAACAGCCGGAACTGAGCAACCTGCTCCTATGGTCCTTGCACTCCATGTACCCAGATGCTGCAACCACATCATCGTCCTCTCTTATCTGGACCTCAGGAAACTAATCTTTCTGCCTCCAGTCCTGCTGAATTAGAATCTAATTTCTAAATTGCTCTCAAGCCAAAGTCCACGCTCCATCAGCCATGTCTTCAAGGAATTCATGATCTGGTTCCTGCCTCACTACCCAGTCTCATTTCTCAGCAGCCCCTTCTCCACTGCACCCCAACTTATACTTTATATCAAATTGTTCTACTGACCACAACATTATACTTTATATCAAATCAGTTCTACTGACCACCGATTTTTCTCTTATCATCTCTGCCTGAGACACCCCTCCCAGGGACCAACACCATTCCCCACTCTATTCAACGAGATAATTTGTCTTAGGCATAACTTCCTTTGGGAAATCACATGAACCCACTAAGATCATGTCCATTATCATGCTTCATTGTTCATTAAAAGTTCCATGTACTCAGGAGAGTATCTGGCACATGGTCCACCCTCCACAGAGAGTGGATAGGTGAGCAGGTGGATGGGTGGTTGAAATGAATGAATAAATGAATTAAAGAGTGACTGAGCGAGTGAATGATGGGTTAATCAGATGAGGGATGATTAGCACCCTGCAGAAATGACCCAAGAAGGCTTATTCCCTGCCCTCTTGTAAGAAAATCCTAAAAGGAAGTCTGATGGGTTTTCTAGGAAGCACTGCCATCCATACCCTCCCTCGGACTTCCTCAGGCTGAATGGGGCATTGTCCAACAACCGACTGAACGACTTATTTCAGGCCCAACTCTGGGGCTGCCAAGCTGCTGAGCCGGTGGGAGGGAGGAGTGAGGAGGACATAGAAGGAACTGCTTTGTTACCCCCTCATCCCACGGGGTCCACCCAGCGGTCATTACCTGATGCTGCACTTCTTGTGTTTCCCATTCATGTCCTTCCCACAGTTCCCATAGGTGTCCCCAGCCACATTCACCCTCTCGAAGCAGAGGTCGTGAGCAAGCCGGGCTCCTGAGTGGGCAAGGAACATTTGTCAGTACCCTAGGCACGTGAGGAGACGTCAGAAACAGGCAATGGGCAAAGCCAGTCCTTGGTAATGAGTCAAGGTGAGGAAAGCTTTTGGGGAGATAATGTTTCCTTCCTGTACCCCCACCAGCTAACTCCATTCCTTTTCATAGCAAAAGCTTTCATATCAGCTCTTTGTACTTTACTGGGGTTTTGTATCAGCTGTGGGTTTGTATGTTAAGACCTCTTTTCTCCAGTAAAGAAACCTTGTCCTTTTAGGGATTTTTAAACGTGCAAATGTTTAAAGAGAGAAAGCATGTCTTTGGAATTTTCTTGGGAGTAGCCATTCCAATTCTTACTTCCCTACACCCTGAGTAAGGAATCACAATTAATGATGCATCTTCTGCAGAGAACTATGTGTCTTCTAGATACAACTCTTGTGTATCTTCTGGAGATAATTTATCTAATCAAGAATGACAGCCTGTTGTATTCCCCATTCTGCATCTTGCACTGTTCTCTCAATTCACTATGGAGAAGATTGTAGCCAGTAGACACTGAGCTGCTCCTTTTATTCAGCTGCATCGTGTTCCACTGTATGGATGTACCAGAATGAATTTAATTGGCCTCTATGAAGGATGCATAGGGTGTTATTGCTACAAATAAAAATGCTGCAACAAGTATCCCTGTAAACTGAACCTTCACATACATGTTCAAGTACAGTGGAAGATACATGCCTAAGTAGTAGAATGGATGGGCCCAATGACTAGTGCATGAAAATGTCCACATCTCCAAATTGCTCTCTGTAGGGGCTGTACCGACCTGTGGTCCCCTCACTCACCACATCACTATATTTTCATTGCTCATGTGGTCGTGAGAGTATCATTATTATTACTACTACATCACATGAACTCTTCAGTTGCTGCCAATCTGATGCATGAACAATCCTATCTTATAGTAGTTATCATCTGCCTTCACTTCATATGAGTGCGGGTAAGCATCTTCCTGTTCTGTCTCCATCCTCTGCCCATTTGTCTTTTGGATGATTCTTATCCATTTACTCGCTCTGAGCACTGACAGCATCGAGGGACTGGGAAGAACACAGTCCACTGCCTCTCCCTAAAAGTCGATCCTGACCCAAGGGCAAGCATCCAGAGATGCTGCGTTGAAGCCAAAATGCCACGCTCAACAGAGGTGGGTGGGATGAGGGTTCACCCCGGCTCACTTACCGGGTCCCCACAGCTGCTCACACTGGGCCTGGTAGGTGAGGCACATGCCGTTGTAGCAGTAGGCCTGGCCGCCCTCGCAGGAGGTGCCATCCATCTGGTAGAAGTTGGTGGGGCAGTGGGGAGACTTGCCCGTGCAGAACTCTGGCAGGTCGCACTGCCGGGCCTGTGGGCGGCACAGCGTGCCAGGGGCCACCAGCTGGGCGAGGGAAAGAGGGGAAAGCATCAGTCTCCCTCCAGCCTCCCAGAGAGGGCCGAGAGCATCACACTGTGGGACGGAATTCCCGCTCCCGTTATTTCACAGGCCCTCAGCGGTTCAAACTCTAATGGGAGCAGTGACTTAGAGTTTTCCAGGTGTTTTCACAAACGTAACTCACTTCCTCTCCAGAGGAGGTCGGCAGGGGTCATATGTATGCAACAACTTACAGTTAACTAAGCACTTCAGTAATAACGGCTACTTTTATGGCACTCCGCTTAGGTGCCCAGTACAACTATGACTTCATTTCATTTTCATGACAGTTTTATGTAATATAATTATCCCTATTTTACAGATGATGAAACCTGAGGCCGAAGAGGTTAAGCAATGTATCCAAAGCCTCATGGTGAATAAATGGCAAAGGAACCAGGCTCAATAATATATACACGAACACACACACACACACACACACACACACACACACACTAAACTCACATATGCAAATATATAAATCCATTCACACATATACATCCACATTATATTCATGCACATTTTCCCCAAACACCTACATGTATACTCACATGTGCTCATTATGTGTCCAAGGGCATCCAGGCTCCATGTTACTGAAACTTTGAGGCCCTCTTTCCCCCCAGAAGGAGGCTGTGTCCTGCCCCTCACTCCACAGTGGTTCTGTTAGATCAGGGAAAGGGCCACTCACCTTACAGCGGTGACAGCAGGAGCCGTGGGCACACTCCGCCCCTTCCCTCAGGGTGCAATTGGAGGCATTGCAGCAGGGATTGTCACATTCCTGGGGGGAGGCAGAGGGAGTGGGGTGAGCCTCAGGGTCAGCAGGACAGGGAGACAGCCTCAGGGAGGGATCAGGGCCTTCACCTGCCTCTCCCATCTTCCCATCCCTGCCACCATGCCCGGAGCCTGGCTACATAGGAAGCCTTTATAAAAAAAAAAACACTTTACAGCTTAATTGCTAAGGTAATGTATATTTATCCTAGGGGTGGGGAAATATACATTGTTTATATTACACACACACACAATCATCAGCTTAGACACAACTACATTTTGAGTGTGGTAATTTTTCCAGGCATTTTCCTATACACATACACTAAGTTTATAAAATCAAAGTATCCACACTGCTTTTTCACACAATGTAATATGCACACACCTCCTTATAATCATGTATCCTTCCAAAACCTGATTTTCAGAATAGTATCCCACTATATGGATTTTTTTTTTCTCATCCCCAAAAATTCTGTGATTTTTTTTCTCTCATCCCCAATAAAATTCCCCTAGACTCTGTCTTCTGTGCTTTTCTACACTGCCCTCCCACCCTGTCCCTCTCATCCCACCCCCGGGCCTTCCTATCCCACAAAAAGAGGCCATCAGGAGCCAGGGCATCCTGCAGCAACCTTGCACACAGTTTATGTCAGCTCCTGGCTTGCTTCCTCAGACTTCTCTCACCATCTGCTGCTCTTCCTCAGGCCTCGCCAGCCCGGGCCTTTCCGGGACAGGTCCCTAGGGCTTCCACGCTCTCCTCGCTTCCTTCCTGCACTACTTCTACCCATTTGCTGACAGCAAGAGATTTTAAAGGATGATGAGATGGCCAGTGGCTGTGAGTGTCCTTATAACACTCCAACTACAGTCACAGGCCTGGCCACAAACATTTCTTGACAATGTGCCGGTCTCCGTGCATAGGACCAACACAGCCTGTGAGGCAAGACCATTTCCATTTCACAGATGGGGAAACTGGGGCCGAAACAAGTCGAGGCACACACACCTGGCACGTGTTGGAGCAAAATTCAAGTCATGTCTATCGGGGGCCCACTGCATGCTTATTGACCATAAAATAACTATATTTGTCCAGGTCAAGCATTTTGGAGACATCACTGCCTGACTATAGATGCCCACCCATCCTCCCTAAGAGAGGGAATTAGAATACTTCTCTTCCATCCATCCCTCACCACCCTGGGCTCCGAGCAGACCCATTCCCTCCCTTCTACCATATTATATCTGTTCCCACCACTAGGCACAGTCTGTCTTCTCGCCTTGTACTCCTCACTAACTCCTCATAGCCTTCAGGTATGGGTCAGAGGTCACACCCACACTCAGGAGGGCAGCTCCCCTCATCCTACAAATACTCAGAGCATCTTGTCATTGGCCCTTTGAGCATTTAGCATGGATTGTATTTAGAGGCCTTTGCAGCTATTTGGTCAAATGTTTCCCCCGCTGTATTATAATGCTCCATATGGAGAGGGACCACATCTATTTTTGCTGTATTTGTCCTAGCCCTCACACCAGTATAGAACCCTCCACTTAGTAAAAAGCTGTAGAATCAGCAGCTGCTCCAAATATAAGCCAACAGGCTGAGCCCCTAAGGGGTGTTCCTCAACCCCAACTCCTTTCTGAAGCATCTGAGCTGACTGCGCTTAACTAGGTCTTGTCCTATCCTATATAATAAAAGGCTAATTTGCAAATTTTCCCCTCAACCAGGAGTTCAATGGGGAGTCAACCAGGGAGCAGGGCCAGACGGCCAACCTCCTGTGTCCCCTACCCCTGGCCAGCCTAATCGGGCTGGCTGGACCCCAACTGTGCACAAATTCATGCACTGGGTCACTAGTTTATTATAATATTTACATGCTGACTCTGGGGGGGGGGCAGTGGTGGATATAAAGCTATAGAGAAGGTTATAAAATCAAATACTTTTCCCACATACACAGACTTGAAATCTCACCACCATAGCTGTTTCTCATATTTCCCCCCAAATTGTTTTCATTTGTTATTGTATATATTTCCATATTTCAAAAAATAGAGATGAAACTACACAGTTCTGCATTTTGCAGGTCCATATGCATCCGCTAAAGTGACAAAGCTATGCTGTATACCTGCCACTCATTTTGAAGATCAAAACAGCTTGCTCCTTCTTCCTCCTGGCAGCCCTTTCAGACATGACCACTTCCCCTTTCCACCATCTCGTCTCCAGGCTATGCAGACCAGTTTATTACTTTCAGCATCCTCCAAAGGCCCAGGGTCAAGTTCAGATGTCCAGCTGCATGCCCCCCAGAATAAATTTGGTGCAGCTGGAAGGCCAAGAAGGGCACCTGAGGCTGCCCTGGTGTGGACTGTGGTTTGTGGTTAGATCAGACACTCTTAGGAAGAACCCCACCCAAACTTGGACATCAGCAGTGCCAAGCTCAACAGGGAGTCTGCAGAGGTGGTCCACAGTGAAAGCTGGCCCTCCACGTCTTATTTGTGATGATGTCATAGGAAATATGCATGAATAAAAAAATTTCCAATTGCTTTCTCTTTGACCTTGAGATTTGAAACGAATGCAAATTCTTTCTCTCCTGCCTGTGCTGCCATGACACCTTACCTCTTCCTCCCCACAGTCACACTCTTCCCCTTCTTCCAGGTACCCATTTCCGCATCTCCGGCCTCCATACAGCATCTTGATGTCTGGCATGTTCGAGAGACACATCCCACCACCTGACTGCAAATATCTTTCCAGCTCCCTCCTGTTGCATCCATTGAACACTTTGGGGAAAGGATGCCTAGAAGTGAATGAGGTTGAAGTTAGTTGTGAGTTTGCACACCAAGCAGCCAGAACAGCTGTCAATCCTTCTGCCCATCGGGCTGATGGACTCAAACCCCTACTAGTCCCATGCACATACCTTTTTCCCTTTTAGAACTTCAGCGACAAATTAACGTACAATTCTTTCTAAGAATGAAGAAATAGTAACCACCCCATTATGTTTTTCCTGCCCTTCTGCCCAGAGGAAGTATCTGAGAATCAGAAGCAGCAATTCCTGCCCTTTGCATGAAGGGGTTGCAATAAATAAAGGGATATGAGTGTTACAACAGGTCTCCAGAGCCTTAGAGCTGAATAAAATATCAGCCAACCCAAAGGTTTTGTGAAGCTGGTATTAGATCAAGATTTTCTCAGGACAGAGAACCGGGCCAACAAAGAGCCAAGATCATGGTGTGTTTTTATTGTTGGGCCAGTGATCTGCTCTCTGTATCTAAGGATACAGGCAGTGCTCCAAATTCAACCAGCCAACTGGCAAAGGCATGATCTTTATCACAAGGGTATGAAAGGACCTGGGCCCACTGTGGGGAAAAAGCATGAAAAGTCATCCATTCCCTGGTAGCAGGTCAGTATTACCATTTAGGTCTATAAAAGAAGTCATCCTGATCCCAATTCTCTAAGCCAACTGCAGGTTAGACACTACAGGGTTTTCCTCAGTTATCAGATACATCACATGGAATTCGTTAAACTACTGAAATTGATAACTAGTTTAAAAACAAACTGCAGCAGTAATGAACAGAACTCTCAGCTGCTTGTCTACTAATATGCTCTTTAGATTGGGGAAGAAAGAGGAGGACTTAACCAGGAGCTAATGGGTTGTGGGCATGGCCCATGGACTTGCATCCTGCATGGCAACACCCTCCTCTGTGTGTCACAGCGGAGAAGGGATGGGAAGAGAATAAATGGAAACAGCACTGGTCCCTGGGGCTCCAATTTGCTCCTGGAGACACTGACACCATTTCTCTAAGAAGCATAAGCAGGTCCTAATGGTTTGGGGTGGGAGGAACACAGGCTTCCAAAGGGTGAGCCAGGTCCTGGGAGAGCCCCATGCTCTGGGCTGAGCGAGACCAGGCACTATCAGCCTCCGAGTAAATACTGGAATTCCCTTTTAAAGGCTCTGGGCTTAAAAGCCCTCACAGCTACAGGGAGATGGTGTTGTCTTGCCCTTATTCTGGGTAAACGTGGCCTGCAAATCCCCTGTGGGCTCTACAGATGCTCCTCTTTCTTTCCCTTGTTCTGGAGCCTACATCAGCCCTGACAATCAAGCCTGGGAAGTGAGAGCACTCATCGAAACCCCCGTGGGATGGAGGAACTAAGAATTGGGATTGTTATTAAAATTGATCCTCATAAAAAAATTACTAAAAAGAAAAGTGACACAGGTCGTCGGGCGAATTTGGCAGCTGAAGACCTAGGACAGCAAACCTCCTGCTAGTCACCTGGTGCTCCTTGCATGTGTTTCTTAGTTGTCAAAACCGCATTTCTCTCCAAGGGCTAACAGAGACTCCCTGGGGCCAGCTGGGAGGAGCACGGGGTTGCACAGGCCTCCCTGTGCTTCTGCCCTCTGCCCCGCCCTCCCCTTCCTATGTGACTCACCCGGTGGCGGCTGCCATGATGCACCCCCCGTCAGCCGCGCTGGCGTGGCAACAGCCTTTCAGATCGTGGGTCATGCCGAAGTTGTGGCCCATCTCATGGGCCATGGTGGCAGCCACGCCAATGGAATTCTCAGAGTGGTCCTGCTCAGGGAGAGAGTGCAGGTCAGGAAGACAGCCCGGCAGCTTGATAGAAACCTGGGCTCTTAACTACGGCTGCACTGCCAATCCTAAGGGCTGGATCGAGGATGGACAGGTAGATGCTAGCAGGCTCCGTGATAACCACTTCACGGGTCAGAAATGAACGAAGTCATTTAATAAGTACTCACCGAGTCAGAGAGAATTTCTAAAGGAGGCAGGAAGTTCCTAACCATGACTTTGAGACAGGCTCTTGTTTCATGATGATATACATAACTTAAAACCTAGAACTAAAAAAACCTCCATCCGTTGTCTTACTACTCCCCTGATTTGGAATATATGAAGGGCCTAGCGATGTGTGATATTAATGTGACGGCTTCTGGGTTTTCCTGGGCTTGACAATTGGGGATAAGCTACACCCCATGAAAATCCACCCCTGGTATCTCCATCTCTGATCACTGACTGACTTCCTCTTAAACAAATGCTCGAAGCTTTTCTTTTTTCTGCAGTACTACACATGAAGTTGTGGGTTTGGGGAGGGGCTGTGGGTTTTTTTTTAAAATATATTTTTCTTGATTTCAGAGAGGAAGGAAGAGGGAGAGACAGAAATACCAATGATGAGAGAATCACTGATTAGCTGAACCCCCGCATACCCCCCCACTAATTGTTTTTGACCAGATGACCTCCTGTCCTGTGAGGTGGTGGTCTGCCTTCTGAGACACGATGTATCAGCTGATACTCACCATGTTCACTCCCCCAGACTGGTACACCGAACACATGACGTTGAGGGGGGCCAGGCCGATGGTGACGCCCTGGAAACGCACGCCCCTGCAGAAGGAAAGGAGAGGGTGACTAGGGAGGGGACCGAGTGGGCTGTTTCAATGTGCCCATGCAGGTGGCCGTCATGGTGTCCCCTGGCCCCTCTGACACTCCCAGATCATTCCCAAGGGGCGAGGCCCTGGTTTTCCAGGCCAGCTGGCACGCCTTTCATTTCCTCTCACCTACCCTCTCACCGCTCTAAAAAATACAGAGAGTGAAAGGTCCCTTTGTCTCACATATGCCACAGCCCCGTTCCCTGGAAGTAAATGGGCAGGGCTTGCAAAGTTGCATCCCATCCCTGCTGCACAGGAAAAGGTCACAGGGAGGGGTGAGGTGAGGGAAGAATGGCACAGGGGCTGATGCTGAAGTGAATCATGCCCACTTCCTCCAGCTGCTGGGGTTGCATGCCACATCCTGGCTCTGGGGTATGTGCCTGGGGACAGATGGGGGGGAAATGGGGGGAGGAGGGATGGGCGATATGGGGTAAACAGCTGCCAGAGGGCTGATGCTTCCAGAGGGCTGATGCTTCCATACGGGTAAACAGCTGCCAGAGGGCTGATGCTTCATTGCCACATCGCCCGGGGGCCAAGGAAACAGATGTGTCCCATCAGAAGCCTCTCCAAGTGCAGCAGGGTGCGAGAATGACCTGTTTCTGCCTCTGTTTCACAATTGTGATCCTAATCTGTCAACAGCCACGCTCCAGTCCCCCAGTTTAATCCATCCCTCCCCCAGGGCAGGGGCCAAGGAATAACTAAAGCCCAGTGTTTTCATTCATGCCACAGAATGTAATTTGTTTAAAGGATCTATAAAAAAATTTGGTGTGTGGTACTTCTATATCTCCATGCTGTCTTCTTAACTACACCCTATTATCTTTGAGAGCTGAGACTATCTCATTGGGGTCACTAGAAGCTAGCATAGACTCTGAAACATAGTGGGTGCTTAATAACTGTTTGATGAGCCTGAACAGAGTGGCTCAGTGGTTGGGCATTGAACTATAGGCCAATGCTCAACTCTCTAATAAATAAACCGAGGTTATGGTTCGATTCTCAGGCAGGGCACATGCCAGGGTTGTGGGCTCAATCTCCAGTAGGGGGCGTGCAGGAGGCAGCCGAACAATGATTCTCATCATTGATGTTTCTATTTCTCTATCCTTCTCCCTTCCTCTCTGAAATCAATAAAAATACATTTAAAAAGAAATGTCTGTTGAAGTCCAGGCAGACTCTTCTTCAGAGAAACAAGATGCAAAGAAATACACAAAATACATGCCAATGTACACAAGGTCCCACTGGTTATTTTATAAACTTAGACAATGGCTCTGAGGAAACCCACCTGGAAACCTAGATTCAGGCCAAAAGCCTTGGTAACCCGACTGTACTCAATGGCCAGGTTTTTGATACAACTATTTCCTGGGTCTTTATTATTTTTTAAATTAAAAAAAAAATTTTTTTTAAATTAAAAAAAAAATTTTTTTTAAATAAACTTTTTGTGGAAAACTTCTAAACAACGTCTAATAATTTCTAAATAACTTGTGGCTTAAAAAGGAAGACAAAACTGAAGTGACAATTAGCAAGGACACTGGAGTGCTATATTTTAAAACCAATGGGACGTACCAGGCCTTTTAAAACGAGTCAACAAAGGTTTAGGTGATTGTTGATTCAGAAAGGTATTTAAGCATCAGGTCTGATTTTCTCATCTAGGTTGTATATACTTCTTGGGACTGTTATGACTCTTTTTAAGTCTTTTCCAGCGTGTGCTGGATAATGAGCACATGTCTGAGAAATACCCGACTCCCTGGGGCCGTGAGTCAAGGTGGCCCAGGGCGACCGACACTCAGCGCCAGGAAACGGCGGGGCAGCCAGCACAGCACTGCAGGCAGGGGCCCTGCGGCCAAGGCAAAAGCAATGCCAGTGGGGAAAGGCTGCGTACGTGATTAACTGTGCGTTGTCGTGCTTCTTCCGAAAGACCAGCTTGCGCCTCCAACGAAGAAATGACCAGAGGGTGGTGTATGGGTTCGTCGAAATTTCACACTGATCCCCGTGAGTCCACACTTCCAAGCCCACGAGAGCAATCCGGATGTTGTAGGGCCGGTAAAACTGTTGGGCGAAAGAGAAAAGCTACAGCATCATCTTCATCCGCCAATGCTAGGGAGGAGCTGAAACATCTCAGGTGGCTCAACAGCAGGCCATCGGATGGACGCACCCAACTGTAGATGGACATTTCATGGTCAGATGCCTCCACTCGTTTAGGAAGTACATGTGTTTATAAGTAGATAGACATCCTGCCCCATCACTGGAGGGGTCCAGCTTTTGTCAAGGCTACAAGCATTAGACGGCAAAGGTCCCAGATAATTGTCAGGGTTCCGTCCAACCCAAAGATTTGGAAATTCTGTACATGAGACCTGACTCTTGGGACCTTAAGGCTACAGCTCTATCTAACCTTTATGATATCCTGTATCTTTTATGTCATGTATAAATAAAACAAGATGACTATTGGAAGGTGTGGGTATAAGCAGTTCTTTGACTGGCATGCCCAAGAGACTACTGAGGCGGTGACTTACAAAAAAAAAAAAGTTGCATGTAAATCTAGGTCACATGAGCAAGAAGATACCATTTAATCCAAAACTGAATGATTTTCCCGACTGGTGTGGCTCAGTGGTTGAGCATTGGCCTATGAACCAGGAGGCCAGGATTAGATTCCTGGTCAGGGTACATGCCCAGGTTGCAGACTTGATCCCCAGTGTGGTGTGGGCAGGAGACAGCCAATCAATAATTCTCTCTCATCATTGATGTTTCTCTCTCTCTCTCTCTCTCTCTCTCTCTCTAATAAATAAAAATATATTTTAAAAAACAAAATCACTGGATGACTTTGGGTAGGTACTGCCCCAGCTAAAAGCAGCAACCGGAGCACTTTCTGTGCACTATGTACTGAGGCTTGGAGTTAAAACCTTCCATGTCCCAAGTCTCAGCAGAAAAATGGTGGAGCCAGGATTCGAGCCAAAATGATCAGATCTCAAAGCCCTTGCATGGCCCCACACTGCTTAAGCGTGGGCGGTTTTACAACCACCCCATCCACTGCCTCCAAGACGCTGTGGTGTAAGATGGGCTCCAGATTCAGCAAAACATCCGTTGATCTCAACGGAAATTTTGATTTTCCTGTTTTGTGCCAGGCCAACCATTATAGCAAATAAAAGGTTTGAATTCCAATTTGAACTTGCTTCCACTAAGGGAGCTTTTTAAGGACTTAAACTTGGCTTTTTCTCAGCTAAAGGAAAGCATTCTGGATTGGGTTCATGATTCAGCAAATTAGCGCAGTTCATTCCAGGTTTTAGTTCAACAACAGTTCAGTTCAAGTAGCTGGGTCAGCAGCCTCAGAGAAGTGGGCTAGCCTTCTGGCCAGGAATGTTGAGGACAGAACTGAGACTGCTCCACAGAAGGGACCAGGCTCTCCTCTCCTTCCGTCTTTCTTCAGCACCCTTGGCTGATCCCCTCATCCAGGCCAGCCGGACAGGTCACAAAGGGGAAACCCAGGCGGACAGGTCACAAAGGGGAAACCCAGGCGGACAGGTCACAAAGGGGAGACCCAGCCAAGCCTGCCACCTGCCGTGTCTGCAGAACAATAGATGCCATGTGGGTGATAACAGAGCCGGCCTCCTGTATACCCCGCAGGGAATCAGGCTTTTCTTGATTTCCCAGATGTTAGTGTTTGGCTTGGAGGACCATTTAGATGTTTATTGTTGAGTGAGTGGAGAGCTAGAGAGACTGGACTGAGCTCCTGGAACCCTTCCTTCCAGGAAATGCCAGTGTTTGACTTTCACCAGTCACTGACCACGGGCCTTCTGGAATTTCCAGAGCTATTTTTGGCATAGACTTGATCACCTGATGACATCAGAATACTACCGAATCTGCTTGTTAAAGGTCTAAAAAATGTTTAAGTTCTCTCCTTTATACTATAGTGTTGAGGAAAAAATGATTTCTCCTTTGGATCTGAAACCCATGACTCCCTAGCCGGCCCAGAGTTAAAGCTGCAGGAGTTCTGTGAGCAGCCTGAACTTGTACAATGTTGTCAGAGTCTCAAAGAGACCTGTGACCCCAAACATATTAGAACCTACATTTTAAAACGGCTGCTATGAAGAGGTTAGATTACCTATGAAGAGGCTAGATTACCTGTTCTACTACGTTTTGCACTATAAATATTTTTTTAAATATTTGAAAGACCATGTCCCAGACCAGCCTGTTCTAATAAAAGTCAAGAATTTGGGCATTTCCTAAGAGCATGCTTGAAAGGCCTGCCTTTAGAAAGTCAGCCATGGGCATGGTCTCTCTAAGACAGGAAATCACTTTAGAACCGTTCACAGACACAGCCTACACAGATTGTTCCTGAAACAAGCCACTCCTCGTTTAACATTCTGCCCTTTCCCCTTGCTGACCTAGCTCAATTCTCTCCTCGGTCGGAGAACTCCTGAGCTCTGTGTCTAGAAGGAACCTTAAAGCCTTAAAGAACCTTAAAGCATTCCTAAACCGAGCTCCTCATGTCCTTGGTCTCCTGGGAGCCCCTCAGGGATGGAGAGAAGGGGTGAGAGGGCAGAGCGCTAGTCCTCACCCTGCTTCAGCCTGGAGCAGCCCGTTTATCTGACTTTTATATCGGATGGTTTTGAACTGGTCTCAGCCTATTAATAACCAGCGTTAGAGAGCTGAACCACCCTTGTGATTCTTACTATGATGGCAAGACTCCCTTCAGCAATAACCACCAGAAAACTGAACAGATACAGGCTTATTACCACAAAACCTGGAAATCAGACAGCACACCTGGGGCCGCACAGAGAGGTGGCGAGTGGGGGTGGAGGAGGTGAGGGGAGAAGAGAGAGGAGGGGCCTGGGTTCAGTTTTTATTGGGGTGAGAGAAAAACCACACAAGTACCCAAATGGCCTCTTATTAAAATCAACCACAGTCTCTAAGACGGAAGAGCCTCAGTGGAGGGAGGGGGCCTGGTTCTCCCCCATCCTGTAGAGGCCGGGAAAGCCCGCTTCGAAGAGGATGCCTCTTGGTAATGAAGGCCTGGGCACCCAAAGCTTAAGCCAGGCACGTGCGTTACAAAAACAAAATAAGCAAACAATGCCAGGGCTTATAAAGCTTAGACAGTGACACAAGATTTCATTTTAAAAAAGATGTCACCTGTCTGGCTGGTGTGGCTCAGTGGCTGAGTGCCAACCTATGAACCAGGAGGTCAAAGGTCCATTCCCGGTCAGGGCAGGCTCGATCCCCAGTAGGGGTGTACAGGAGGCAGCCAATCAATGATTCTCTGTCATTATTGATGTTTCTATCTCCCCCTCTCTGAAATCAATAAAAAGTATATATATTTAAACAACCACAAAAAAAGGAAGCCACCACAAAAAGAAAAATTATCTAAAACCATTGATTTAGGCCAACCCCCCTATTTTATAAATTCAAAACAAAACAAAACTTCAAGCCAAAGAAGATGAGTCACTTGGCTCAGGTCACATAGTTGAGCTTCGAGAGTTCACCTGCGCCTCTGAGGCGTTGCCGTTCCCTCTCAGAGGCTGGCTGGGCCAGCCAGTCCATCACACACGAGGCAGCTCAGGGGCCGTGTGAGCTCCTGTCCTCTGAGTGCTGGCACCGTTCCCACAAAGTACACACCTGGTCTCACCTTATCAACATAATTGGCGATCTCAATGAGCTTGTTTTTGGTGGCTTCCAGGTCTCGTCCATTCTTGGTAAACTAAATGGGACAAACAGAAGTAGGTAAGACACCGGGGACTCTCTCAAAACCCCTCCCATGCCCATTACTTGTCTCTGGATTAGTTTTTACTTTCTCCCATCTTCTGTAAGCAGTCATTTTTACATAGCTGTCTCCTCACCACACACACACACACACACACACACACACACACACACACACATGCATACACACACACACACACACACAGTATCATCTGAGGGAGAGCAGAGCTGGATCACATCCATCCTGGTATCCCCACCCACCAATGCCCAGCATGGAGTAGGCGTGCCATGATTGTACAGTGATGAATTGAATTCTATTTCTCCAGCCCTTAAAGTCAACCTTGTTCTCCTGTCCTCCAAATGAGAAAGCCTCCCACAAACCCACTGGGTCTTAGAAGGGGGACCGATCTGACCCCTGCCCCGGGCATCATCCAACATAAAGCCATCATCCCTGGGGTTCCTGCAGGGCTCCTTTCATGTGGTCAGTTAGCAGTGGTCAAATTGTTGCTGACCGCCTGCTTTACACAAGGCACTGGGCTTGGCACTCGGTGTGAGATCCTGGTCCTAGCCCAGAGGAGCTTCAGTTGCAACAGAGAGAGGGCCAGAAACAACTGTAATGGCAGGTTCTGTACTGAAGGGGCATATTACTGAAATGGACTGAGAAAACATGGACAGAGATCATGGCCGCAGAAGGCCACATGAGTGATACAGAGCGGGTGCTGGCATCGAGGATCCTAAGACCCAGGTTTGTCTGGCACGCCGCTCAGACGGACTGGCAGTGCCTTCTACGGTGAGAAGAACTCTGAGACTGCCTGGGGCTCTGCAGGAAAGAGTGCTGGGCCCAATTGGAAATGTCTGCCATGGGTACCAGGAAGAAGACATTTCATGATGCAGCCTCACATTTATCCTTCCTGCTTTAAAGGATTGCCCTCTTTCAGCTGCAATGATGAAGAGAAGCGTCCCATGTAAAGATAAAATCTGCCACAACTGACCTACATTTGCCAGTGATGGGCATTTCCTGTCTGCTATCAGTGTTACACAGAATCTGGGTACCTATGTCATTTACCTTGGGCATACGACTATCTATGCCACTTCCATGCCAAACCTCCACGCCCTTCCTCCACCTCCTTCAGCAAGGATAACCAAACAGGAAATAAAGACCATCCAGATAAAACTCTCAGGGATATTGGTTGTGATGGTGTGTCTCTGCCATGAGGGAGAAAACCAGCGTTTCCTGATGACATTCCTGGGCTTCCTTGGAACTGTCACTCATCCGAACTGTCACTCATCCCACTTTCGCTAGTGTTTTCTAAGAGTTCAAGTCAGTATCAGGCATTATGACTTAAGACTTTACAAGGTGTGAATCCTGGAGTTTCTCATTATACAGCCATCCCATTTCTAAATTGGTCTCACTGTGTAAAAAGTGTGGCAGGATATAGTGAACATTTGTTATAAAATCAGAGTCATGTTTTATTGCCTTTCTAATATACTGCTCCTATCTTTAAGCAACTGTCCATTGAAGGAATGCACCGCATCATCCAGAAGAGTCTCAAGCAGAGCCAGCAAACCTTTTCCTAAATGGGCAGATTGTAAATATTTCAGGCTCTGCAGCCATATTGTCTCTGTTGCATCTATTCAACTCTGCCATAGCTCAGCCATGGCGTGGAAGTAAAACTCTGCCTACAAAAATGTGTGTTCTGGATTTGACGTGCAAGTTCTTGGCATTCCTGCTCTTACTGCTGTCCTGCCCCCTTCCGCAACACTCCATCTTGCTCTTCCTGTTCCTGGATTCCCCATTTTGCCTGAGGAAATAAGCTGAGACCCTCCCAGGTGGCCCCACCTAGACCCAGGCAGTGAGCAGCTGCTTGGCCAGTTTTACTGCTGACAATACTCCCTCTCCCTCTCCCTCTTCCTCTTTCTCCCTCTCTCCCTTTCCCTCTCCCTCACCCTCAACAGCAGCAGCACTGTCTGTCTCTGCTCCTGGTGCAGCCCAGAGGAGGAGCTTGGCCTGTCTAAGCACCAGGTTATAAATCACAGATAAGGCTGCCCTCCCCCACGCTGCCTTCCCATCCTTTCAGATTAATTATCAGGAATACATTTCTGCCTGCGGAGGCCGAGGCCAAGAGGCCGCTGGAAGAGGGATTGGGGGAGGGATTTGTGAGCCTGAGAACCAGCCTGGCCTATTGTATATCCCCTCCCCGATCCCCATGACTCATTCAAAGCCCAGGACCTGTGAAATAAGCCAGTTCCCGTCCCCAGGCAGCATGAGTTCGCCTGTGCCTGTCTGTCAGGAACGCCTGCCTGGCTGCCGCTGAAGGCAGCCCCTCTGAAAAAGGATGGTGGCCCAGGCGACTCCTTAGTCCTGAAGGCATCCTGAGCGGCCAGTTTTCCTTGTAGGCGTTTTCTGCGACCCTGGAGATCAAGAGACTAAAGATGCCCAATCCCTTCTCTGCCCTGCTTCTCTGATTTGCAGAGACTCACATGCAGTGGGTTTTAAAACCCTGCCCCAAGATTCCAGTGGGGAGAGTGCAGGGCTGAAGGGGAGGGCCCCCCCACCTGTACAACAGAGAGGCTGTGTTTCTGTGTGCTTAACTCCTGGGTCCCAGGAGCTTTCCTCTGAACAAAGGATTCTGTGGCTGAAAAAAACTGGTTCATGAACAACTGCGTTGGATGATCTGAGATGTGAAGTTAAAATGAAAACACGGCCTGGAGTCAGAAGAGCTCAGCTCTTCCAGCAACCCTCCGGCTAGGGGCCAGTGAGGGTTACCGCCTCCCAAGACCCTGGGGCCTTAGCCTTTCTATCAGCTTTGAATCCTGACCCCCCCCTGCTCCCTAGTGCGGCCCCGCCCCCCCCCCCCCCACACACACACACACCAGTCTTCAGAAAGGAAAACAAAAGGGGGGGAAAGAGGCTGCTAAAAACCAATACCAACATCAGTTAAAAAGCAAAACTCTTCTCAAAGCAGAACCTGATGTTCCCCAGGCCTGCGGTGCCCTTCGCCACCACCTCTCTGCCCAGCTAACATCCTGTCCTTTAGGGCAGCTCAAGGCCACCTCCTCCTGCCAATGATCCACGAAGGCAGACCTTCCGGCCTGGAATCCAGTGTCCTTCCAACCACCCTGCACTGCCTCCGAGACCAGAGCTTCGGGACTGCGGACCAGGTAGAGCGGCCTTAGGAGGAGGCCCTCTGGGGAGCTGGTAACCAAACCACGTGGATGGGGTATGAGACGCACTGAAGCTTGGGTAAGCCTCGGCCTCAGGGCGCCCAGGCGAGCATGCAGCGAGAGTAGAGCCCCATGAGTGCTCAGCTGCTCATGTTGTCCGTGCTTAGATGTGCTTAGTTTTGTGGTCGAGTCGTTACATAACATGAGAATTGGGGGTAAAATATGGCTAATTTAGGCAAATATGGGCTCTGGGGCTTGAACCCATTCTTCCGGTGTCACCTTCAACCTCACCACCTTGGAGAAGCTTTGCCAGTCTCCAAAGCCACCGTGTGGCTCCCTCATTGTCTGCATTTCTAATCCTCTGTAAGGAACATCCTAGCAGTTACCACACTGGGAACCAGTATGCAGTTCCCTGCTGCGGTTGTCAGCTCTGTGACTAGGGGGCAGGTCTGTCTGTATCTCTTGGGGCCAAGTTCTGTGAGTACTGAGCTTGGCACATAAGAGAGAATCGAGAAATCACGGATGAATAAATGAAATGAAAGAGAGAGATGAGTGTCCACCCAATCTTAGAAGCCAAGGCCTACGGGAATCTGTCTAATTTGAGGCATATGGAAATGAAGGCCAAACAGCTATTCCTTTGCGTCAGCAGTTCTCCAACTTGCCTGTGTATCAGAACCACCCAGAGGGCTTGTCAAAACTTAAGATTGCTGGACCCCAGCCCCACAGCTCAGGATTCAGTAGTTCTGGGGTACATACAGCCCAGGGACTGGCATTTTCACAAGTTCCAGGTGCTACCGATACTACTGATCCAGGGACCACATTTTGGAAACCACAGCTTCGGGTTTTCATTTAGTGCCAACCTGAGTATAAAAATGGACCCATACATGGGCAAGAAATTGCATTAAGTCAGATGACTCGGAATACACCTATTATCTGTGCAAAAAAAAAAAATAAATGTTTTTTTAAATTTCTATAGAGAATTCAGATTCCCCAAGAACAAGCACCGAAATCTAAAAGTCTTCAGACCTAGGCTAAGAAATGGTAATCCCGCCAATGCAATTGCACTGATTTTTTTTTTTCTTTTCTAAATCTGAGTAATGTATCAGGACTAGAAGACTTTCCTTGTTTTTCTCTTCTAACCATGTTTAAAACAGCCAAAAGAGCCCTTGCTCAAAATCCTATGATGAATGGGAGGAAGACGAGTGCCTCGGCGTTCCCCCAGAGCAGTTGGAAATGTGGGATGGAAGCTATTAAGAGAGCAGTTCTGCTGAAAGCCACCGCCTCCCCCTTACCTCCGCAGCATCAGCCACGATGTAGAGCTCCACGTACTTCATGTAGTTCAAGTCTTCCCTTTTCATCTAAGAAGGAGATACAAGCGGATCAGAGCCTGGAGAAATGGTGACTTGGCCTCATTTCAAAGCAGTGGTGCTAGTTTGATTTTCTATGTGGGCACGTGGGCAAGCTCCAGCCTTGATCGCCAACCCCCTCAGCACCCCCTCCGCCTGCCTTGTTGGGTACCACCAGCAGCTGCGCTGGGACACTAGGTCCTGTCCTCTAGTCCCAGCTGCCTAGTCCAGGAAGGTCAGAGGCCAACACACTGTGTGGGGGACATGCTGACATCAAGTTCCCCCAAACCATTTAAAACACATACCTCTATTGTGGGTGTAAGTAAACAAACACTTTGGGCATAAGGTTAAGAGGCTATTCAAAATCGGGAAGTATGCGTTCTTTCCACCTCACATTTTGAAGTTTCTGAAATTAGCATCTCAAGAGTATTTTAGACATAGTAGTGTTTTGCCCCAAAGCACTATTCTATCAAATACAAGGGTAACCCACACTCAACGATTTGGAATGAAAGAAAAAGCTATTTGTTCCTTTTACCCATCTCCCTTTACTTCAGAATAACCCTGGATCCAAAGTAAGGGTCCTCAGAGGGGACAAGCCCATCCCGAGGTGACTCCTGTACTGAGAACTCACCCGGTGAGGTCGTTTCTTGATCTGGTTTGTAAACTGAAAGCCCCAGTCCCTGCTGGTGTTTCCAGAGTGCTCGAACCCACAGTTCCCGGGGGGCAGCTTGAGATGTTCAGATCTGTAAATAAGGTGGTGGCTCCCACCATCGGGGAGGGGCTCGATGATGTAGCTGAGGTTACTGTTCACCACAATCAGGCCTCTGTCAATAGGATAAATAGAATATCTGGTTAAAGATTGAGGCCCTGGAAAAGTCCCCTGCTCAGGACTCAATTTCCCCACGTGCAAAATGGCACAGTTGGTTGTGATCACTGGTTCTTTTTGTTTGTTAGTCCTCACCTGAGGGTATTTTTTCCACTGATTTTTAGAGAAAGTAAAAGGGGAGGGGAAAAGGGAAGGAGAAAGAGAGAGAGAGAGAGAGAGAGAGAGAGAGAGAGAGAGAGAGAGAGAGACAGACATTGATTGGTTGCCTCCCACAGTGTCCTGCCCATCAAACCTGCAACCCAGGTACATGCCCTTGACTGGGAATGGAACCCAAGACTCTTCAGTGCATGGGCCAATGCTCTAGCCACTATGCACAAGGGCCAGGGCTAATCATTGGTTTTTAACCTTATTATGGAGTCACGCACCCTTTGGGGAAAAGCTGAGGCAAGCTCAGACTTCCTCTCCAGAGAATCGTGCACGTGTGTAAATGTGGTATACACTTTCAGGTACTACAGCTTATCACAGAGAAGCTCAAAGGTTCTAAAAAGGCTGGTACAGGCACAGTTAATAGTTACAAATGTGGTAGGACCAGGATTCCAAAAAGCTTCCCAAACCCAAACATGGCATATGGTAAGTCACAGGTCAAAACTTTACAGACCCAGAAAAAGATGGTATGCTGACCAGAGGAAGAACACTGATCTGGAGGTGAGGAGACCTAAGTCCTGGCCTTAGCTTCAACGTGAAAGTGTCAATGCTCTTCAACAGACTCTCTTAAATAATTCTGAACCTCAGTTTTTCCAGGCGTAAATGCAAATGGTAATTTACTAACTTATGGGACTCTTGGGATGATTAAATGGGATGACAAGTATCTTTGTCCTTGGAAACCAGAGTTGGAGGCATCACCAAATGGCATTCCTCCTAGCCCCAACTTCCCCATGTCAGCAAGCCAGCTCTTTGGTAAAGTGACATCCACAACCAAGCATGTGTGACTACTCCTTCTCTTGATTCTAGACACTAGCTTTGAACGCAGAATAAAGATATATTTGTTCATTATATTTACTCACTGAGCCCTTACTCTGTACCAGATATAATCTAGACATAATCGCTGTCTTCGAGTAATTCAAAGCCCACTAGGGGACAGACATTCATTCCACAAATATTTCCCAAACCCCTGCTATCGGCCAGGCATCCTGTTGTTGCTGAAGATGGTATAGCGAACAAAACAAAGTGCCTGCCCTCACAGAACCTGGGGTCTGGACATGGTAGTAAATCACTTAGTACAAACAGAGATAGCAAGAAGGTTTCATCACTCAACACTGATGAAGGGTTGCATCAGTGAGGTGAGAAAGAGTGCTACAACTTATTATTGATCACTATTGCAAATAATCAGTGGAAGGGTGAGTAACCCTGGCCAGTGTGACTGGAGCATCATCCCATACACCAAAAGGTCATGGTTCAATTCCAAGTCAAGGCACATACCCAGGTTTCGGGTTCCATCCTTAGTCAGGGTATGTAGGGGCAGCAACCAATGATGTTTCTCTCTCTCCCTCCCCCTTCCTGTCTCTCTAAAATCAATGAAAACATATCCTCGGGTGAGGATTAAAAGAACTTAATCAATGGAAGGGTGAGGAGAAGCCCATTTGCCATCCTTGATGCAGTGACGTGACTACAAAGGAATGCAGTCAGGACTCTGGGGGAGGAAAAAGCCCAGCATTGAGCTCCAGGGGCCCCACAGCATTTCATGTACTCCAAAACCGCAGGCTCTCATCCACCCAGAAAACTCAGTAAAATTATCTCCTTGCCACTCCAAATTCAAAGGACAGCTCTGCTCTTGTCAGCTGTGTTGACTTCCAGCCCCACCCGAGCTCCTCAGGACCCCCACCCAGGTCCTGCCCTTTGGGGAGAGCCTGGGATGCTCTCAGGAGACACACACCAGATTGACCAGCAGCAGCCCTTCCTGGAACCATCCCTGCCTGACTCATTCCGGTGCGGAGCCTGGCGGCTTCCAGGAGGCCTCGCCCAGGCTGACACAGCAATCCCAGAACTATCCTGCCGCTGCCTGTCGGTGGGACACCCAAGGTGCTCCCTGGACAGCTAGGGGTGGAAATGGGGCAAAGAGCAAGGGTCACAGCCGCTCCCAAATCCAGATAGGAAAGGGCATAGGGCAGAGCTGCTACGGGCATCCTGTTCCCAAACGATCTCTCATCTCGGCATGGCGATGAACTTTGCAAACACAGAGGGCTGGTCCACAGACCAGCTAATGCTATTGTGTAGGCCAGGTTGGGCTGTGGAGACAACACCCAGTGAATGGAAAGTTCCAGGTAGGGATTGGGGCAAGTTCCAGATTAGCTGATGGGGCATCACTTGAATAGGCCTCTGGGCCAAGTGGACAGACAAGATACTAAAGTTTAGTGCACAGTGAATATTAATAATCACTGTGGTTATAAATGAATGAGCCTTTGCTAAGGACCAGGCACTTATTTTACTCTTTACACTGAGCATTTTACTCTTAACACCAGCTTCCATGATCCTTGCAAACATTATCCCCGTTGTGCAAATGAGAAAACTAAGACTCAGCAAGGTTAAATAACCAACTCAAACTTACACAGGTAGCAAGGACCTAAGCAGTCAGGTGCCGGGTCCCACGACCTTAACCATGACCTCACTTGCTTCTGTCACAATAGCACTGTACAGTGGATCAGAAAGGTATCCCCAAGTTACAGATGGCTACAAATGTCGGGCACCAGCACCCCCTCTGAGGGGCCATTACCCAACCAGCCTAGCTGAAGTAAGATACCATCTTTCTTATTTCATCAACACTACGAGGTCCCATTTTACAGACGAGGAGACTGAGCTAAAAGAGAGATTAAATAACAAGCTCTCGTGAGATTGGGGCCAAAGAGTTAAGGTCTGGTAGACTCTTGACACCATGCCCTGAACCTCTATGCTGTCTTCATCAGTGAATTCCAAACCTATGGATCAAAGTCTGCTAGGATCAGCGCTCGCAGAGCTCTATCCTAGAACATTCTACAGAGTGCATTATAAATACAAATGGAGGAATCTTGGATTCTACAAGCCTTGGTATTGGCACTTAAGTTACATAGCTATTCCTTGCACAGCCACACTCGGACCTGCAGCAGGGGGCCAGCTCGCACAAAGCCCCCACAATTCTGTTTCAGGAAGAGGGCAGATGACCGTTTGAGAAACACAGGCTCAGAAGGACACTGGAAGTCCTCTCAACAACAGGACTCTGTGGTCCTCCCCTTGTCCTCCTTGCCACCGCGCGCCCCCCGCCCCCCCCCCCCCCGGTTGTGGCCCCTGGTGACTCACCCCATGTCACAGTTGCAATCCTCCCAGACTGCCTGGGGTCGGGGGAGAGGCTAGCACAAGTCCCAGCACCTCACAGCAACCACCAGCTTTGACAGTGGGAGATTTCTAAGAATCTGGTTCCTGGAGCCCTCCCCCATCACCACCCTCAGGTCCTGCTGGCTGCCCTCCTGTGAACACTCACCAACTGTTTATCCTTCTAGCAGCCTCGGTTGATCTAATTTGCTAAATATAAGCATGGCCAAGTTTCACCAGGGGCATGGGAGGGGGACCCGGCGGCTGGGACCTCACAAGCTATTCTCTATTCCGCTCTCCATCCTATCCCTCATTGTTAAGAGCTTGATACAAATGAAACTGCACAGAGGAACCCTAGCAGGGCAGGGCAGGGCAGGGCAGGCTGACAGCAGCCCATTCGGGTTTGACCCCTGAGTGACTGCAGGGCTGGTCCACTAGCATGTTCAAGGAACTAAGCAAGACTGCTTCCTGGGAATTTGTCCATTCAGAGCTAAACCCAGGGGGACACACCCTGCCTCCCTATATCCACAGGGGCCCTAGGAGGTAATCACCTTGTTACATTTCCTTCCTTTTCCTTAACCCCAATTTGCATACAAGTGAGAAGGAGTTAGGAGGAGCTTAGAAGGTGGCATAGAAGGGAGGAAAGAGGCAGACAGGTGATGTGCTCCCCCAGGGGTGGCACATGTGAAGAGCATGGCCTGGGGTGAGGCACATCTGGATTCCAACCCTGGCACTGCTGTCTCCTAGCTGTGTGATAAGTCACTCAGCCACGCTGCCCGTCTCCCAAGGTTGCTGTGATAATAGCAATGTTTACATTCAAAGTTACATTAAAAAGAATAGCATATATTACACATCAGGGAAGGTACAGAGCATTTTATTTGACAGCCATTCGAAGCATGTGTATTGAGAACCTACAATCGTCAGGAACTATTCCAGGTACTGGGGGATGCAGCACGATGGAAAAAAAGGACCCCACTCTCAAGGAGGTTGCATCCATCACCCAATGACTATTGTTCCCATTTTAGAGGTGAGAAAATTTGAGGCTGGGGAACTGAAGCAAACTGTCAGGTTTTGAACTAGGAATTGTCTGATACCAGTCTACACAGGTCACAGTTTAATGGTACTTCCTATGAGGGCTTACTCTGCGCCTGACTCAGAGGTAGCACTTGTCATCCATTCTGCATAAAGAAGGCCAGGTATGCAGAGGAGAGCGGGCTTTGCCACTTATTGGTAGAGACAGACAGGCAGGCATGGACTGGCTGTGTGTTTATGGGCCACCTCCTGTTCGGTGCCACCTCCCTGACATCTGCCCACTCAATCTGCAGAGCAGAACTTCTGGTCTATCAGGTGAGAGGACAAAGCCCAGAGAACTTTCACTGTTTTCATTTTACACTTCTATATTATTTGAATGCTTGACACACTAATTATGTAATGACAATTCTTAATAAGCAGTTTCTTTAAAAATAAGTTGACCAATCAGATTTTTAAAAATATTCTTACTGCAATCAATATCTCTCCTGCTGACAGACAGTGGGCTAGGGACACACACATACACACACACACACACACACACACACACACACACACACACACTCACAGTGTCTCCCACAACACACAGGTTCAATCAAGAACATTTCCACCCAGTGCTGCCTAGACTTCTTCACAAATAATCCTCGCTCCTTACATATCTACTCTGTGTTAGTCTGCCATGCATCCGTGCAGATGAGAAGTCCTGTAGACATTCAAAGGATGAGTTCTTCATTGGAGACAGACTTGATGGGTATGGACACCTGACATCCCTAATAAAATGCTGTAGTACATCTTTTTACTGGTATAGTTTATAAGTATCCATAGCTTCCACTCAGTTCTCAAAGGGGTCAGTGGCCCAAATAAGATGACAAAAGCACTTCATTACATACCTATGTTTTTTTCTTGCAAGGAATATTTCTAACGGGACACACAGGACACTGATAACAATGCCCACCTCTTAAAAGGGAAGATTCTGTAAATTCAGAGTAAGAGACCTACCTTTCATTGTACACTCTTGTACTATCTGAATTTTTTTTTCTTCTATGATCATGTATTACTTCTTCAGTTGAAGTAAATAAAAAACTGGTTTGGAGGGAAGTGGGGGCCTAGCAACCATCTAGAAACGCAGCTGAATTCCTCTGTATCTGAAGAATCCACTTGGTATAAGTCCTACCTACTTTCTCTCCAATCACAGGAGCATGTTTCCAGGACAAGCTCAATTGCTAAAAGATTTTCCATTGCGACATCGCTTTATGAGCTAGGGTGGGGGTGGGGGACTTGAGTGTTACACGGGTCTGAAGGCTGCAACTGCCGCAGCTGCTCCTTCCCGAGTCCGAATGGAGCCATCTGGCACAAGTCTCCAGCTCTTAAATCAGCCGAGTCCACAGACACCCTTGGTTGCTTAAGGTGTGCAGTGAGACGGCTGGGAAAGGAAGGCGGGTGGGCCCCACCAGAGGGAAGCATGCAAAACAGAAACACATGGGCGGCTCACCCGGTTTCCCCCTGTCAGCTCAGCTGCGGGAATGATTTACAAGAGGCCAAGCCAACTTCCCACCGCTCCAGACCAAGGGGACAGAGGAAGGGGCGGAGAGATGCAAGTCACACCTGCATGCTCCCTTTCCTGCTTCTTGGGAAAGATGGTTGTTTACTTGCAGACTGCAGGTGGCCTTGGCTGGGCCTGTAAACACCACCGGGAGGCCAGTTGGCTTGGCTCAACCAAGACACTTGAGTAGGGGGACTGGAGGCCACTGTTATGGCCCAGCCAGAGCTTGTTTCCTGCCTAATTCCCTCTGGCAGACTCACTGTGAAGCCCTACAGAGGAGACATGGCCCGATTTATAAACAAACACGCGGGATCTGCAGCCTAGCATTTGCATGTGAACCTAGGTAAATCTGAGCTGTTCACTGTTATAAAATGGCATAAGATGACAATAATTGCATATGCTTGTGCAGTTAACATAGCACATCTCATTCTCTACCATGCCTGTCACTGATGCCCATTTTGCAGGCGAGGAAACTGAGGGCCCAGAAAAGTACTTTTCAATGCCTGTCTTTCCTCCATCTGTGTAGGGCATGGGCAGAGAGCAAGCACTCACTATTAATATGCAGAATGAAAGGAACAATTATTGAATGAATCAGCTGACAGAGAATAAGGGTACACAGTGGAAAGACCTACTGTGTCATAAGAGGCAGTCATGTGCATATCTTCCCAGTTCTGCCTGCAGTACCATAATGCTGTCTACTTTCCATTGCTCATGGTGGGAATAGCTTTACCAGCACATTGGCAGATGCTACACATCAGGGCTTTTTCTTTTTTTCACAGAGACAATGTATTATATCAACACATTAGGTCTAGGCATCACAATAAAACCTAGGAAATTAGCTTGACTGGTATAGCTCCAATGGTTGAGCATTAACCTGTGAACCGAGATGTCACTGTTCAATTCCTGGTCAATCCCTAGTAGGGAGTGTATGTAAGGCAGCCAATCACTGATTCTCTCTTATTACCAATAGTTCTATATCCTTCCCTCACCCTTTCTCTGTGAAATCAATGAAAATATATTAAAACAAACAAACAAAAAGAAAACAACAGGCAATTAAAATAGGGAGTTTTCAGATCATCTCTTTTCCAAAAAAAAAGGGAGTGTGGAGAGAGTCTAAACAAGTGGTATTTACTAATTCAATATACATGTATTGGTCCTACTATATCCAAAGCACTCAGATAGGCTGGAGAAACAGATATTGGAGACGGAATTTATACTGTCAAGGAGCATACATTCTCAGGGACAAACTGTACAGGGCACACTGGGGGATCTTGGTAAAACGCAGATTATAACCAGTAGGTCTGGGTGGGGCCAGAGGCACTGCATACTAAGCATGCTCTCAGGAGACATTGGCCCTCTGCATGCCACACCCAGGAAGCAAGGGTCGAGGAGGTGACTAGATGTTCCTATGTGACAGCCAGTTGTACACATTAGGTATCTATTAACCTATCCATCCTCACAACACTAGGAGTATATTTACGTTTTACAAATGAGACAGACCATCGAGACCCAAGGTGGCCCAGCAGGTCAAGGGCCACTGGCTCACACCCAGGTAGCCTGGCCCAGAGAATGAAGAGTCACTCTCTCTCCCACGTGCCTCCTAGGCGGAACTTTTCCGTTGACTTTCGGTCTTGAACATTATCCTTGCTTCTCCTTTCTCTTCCCGCCTTCTCTCTTCACGGCTATTTCATTTTTTTGCCCCCATTTCTAAGTATTTCTACCAGAGAAGAGCAAAGGGGAAGTGAGAATAAATGCTCCAACTCATCAGTTTCAAGTGTGTGGACCCCATCGTTTATATTCTATATTCTGATGCTTTGACATCTGCTCCCAGGGTTAGCCAATTCCTTGAGACAGTAAACTACTCGCCAGTGAGCATGCATTTCAAATGTGGCTTTCACCCTCTGGGCCACTATCCCCCTGCCCTGTTCACCCCAGGCCAGGTACCAGACAACTAGGGACAGCCCCTGAGCCCCAGATCCCACAGAACTTATTGAAACTAATCCCAAGCCTTGCCTTTTCCTTCCTGCAGAAGCCACAATGAAGACTCTTGCCATATCTTCCTTTCCCCCTCTTCCTCCTGACTGACCTCTGTGCTTTCGGTATTGCCCGCCCCCCCCCACCCCCCCATACACGCATGCATGCACGCACACACAGCAAGCCCCTCTTTGGATCTTGAGTACAGCCAACTGTCTCTTCATGGGCATTCGTCCCTCTTCTGCTCCGATGTTTCACCATACCTGAGTATCACGGAAACTCAAGAGCCTCGAGTTCATTCCCAAGCTCGGCCCTTCTCAGAACTGGCTTGCATACACACCCAATGGATGGCTTCTCAAGGCCCCTGCCCAAGGCCAGCCCTGCTGTCCTGAGAATCCCACTCCTGGGAGAGAGCCAGGTGTCTCCAGCACTGTCAGGGCCTCTTACCTCATTCCCCGGCAGGTGCTGAGCGTGACACTGGACTCTTCCGCCTTCCGCACCGTCCCATGGTAAAAGCAGTGATCCTAGTCAGGAGAAAGGGGAGGTCAGGCCCAGCAATGTTAACGTCCCGTGAAGGTCACGGGTGATCATATTTGCAGCCTAACCTGACAATCGGCGGACAGCTTTCCAAGCCTCCACTTTACCTGATCCTCATCACAGCCCTGAGAGGTGGGACGGGATAGATGTCATCTTCCCCAATGAACAGACAAAGAAGCTGAGGCTCAGAGGAGCACAGAGGTTTGCTGCAGGTCCTTCTGCTAATGCAGGACCAGGATTTCAGAGCCAGTGCAGAGTTCTTTCCATGATATTGGCCACAGGAACACTGGCTTCTGAAGAGCCTGCCTCCCCACTAGAGGCATCGGGCCCACGGGCCATATAAGACCCATGAAATCATTTGGTCTGGCCCTGCCAAGTCATTAGGGGTGAGTTAATGAAATGTTTGACCAAATATAGCAAGCTAATTTTTAAGTTGTTAATTTGTATGGTCCACAAATGGTGCTACAAATATCCAAATGGTCCTTGGCAGAAAAAAGGTTCCCCACCTCTGCTCTATAGGGTTGAAGAGTGTCCCACCAAATTCATGTCTACCCAGAACCTCAGAATGTGGTCATATTTGGAATAGGAACTTTGCAGATGTAATTAAGTTAAGATGAAGTGATACTAGACGGGTGTGCTTTTAAGAAGAGGCAGAGATTGGAGTAATGAAGCTACAGGCCAAGGAGCACCGAGGATGGCCAGGGACCAGCAGAAGCGAGGAAGAGGCCAGGAAGGAATCTTCCCTAGACTACAGAGGGAGCGTGGCCCAGCCAACACCTTGATTTTGGACTTCTAGCGTCCAGAACTATGAGGAAATCCATTTCTGTTGCTTTAAACTTCTAAGTTCATGGTGCTTTGTTACAGCAGCCCTCGGAAATGGAGACCCAACTTTTCTGCACCTCCCTGAATCCCTGCGTGCCTGAACTTGGCACCTACATCTGGGGACGCCAGAGGCCCGATGCTGCTCTCTGGTCAGTGTGTCTCAGGGTCATGTGGCCTCCCAGCCCGGCTGGATTCCTCCCTGACTACGAACATCTGCGGAGCACTGCGTGTGCCAGGCCCCGGGCGAGGCCCCAGAGACACGACAATGAACAAACAGCTCCAGCTTCAGTGGGACTGACGGTCTGATGAGAACCAATCCTAACGAAAAAGCCCTACAGAGGTATAATTACAAACCATGAAGAGTGGCTAGAAATAAAGGTTGGAGATGCCAGCAGAGGGGTGTACAAGTAGGGCAACCAGAGCATGTAGGAGGCAAACCAGGACAATGCTGAGAGGGCTACAGAGGGTGCAAACCGGGGCTGTCCTGGGCCCAGTGAGGGGTGGTAACAAGGGCCATCGCTACAAGCTCCTTCCCAGATGGCTGAGAGAGAGAAGCTGGTCAGAAGAGAGAGAAGATAACCCCAGGGCAGAGCCAGATCCTGAACAGGTAGGTGTTATAGTAAGGATATAAGCTACATAGCTGCTGGAAGCTTCCTCCCCCACCCACAACAGCCTGAGGCTGTGCAGTCCCAAGGATCCACCAGCAGGATGTTCCTTGGTACCCAGCAGACAGAAATGTGACCTAAGTGACAGCGACCCATTCGACTATCTTCTCTGGCTCCATCTCCTGCCCAGGACTATTTAATTAATAGCCTAATAATGAAACTTGAGCGTTCTGGCATGCCCAGGCCAGGTTTAAATGCAAGCTCCATACCGACCAGCTATGTGAACAATTGCACAACCTCTATCTGACCTCAAGTGCTAACTAAAGAGGTGAATGCAAGGTTACTGGCCTGGGGCAGCTGGCAATAAACATTAGTGATCTTTTGTCCAAGGCAGAATGTGGCCTCCAGGGAGTGGCAAGCCCATCAAGGGGCTGAATCTTTGGCCTGTGCTGTGCCAATTCTATGCCCTGCCCAGCTGAGCCAGGCAGCCAGGTCTCAGTGGACAGGACAGGCTGGCACTCCACTCAGGGTCAATCTCAGTCCAGTGCTCTTTCACCTGCTCAGACACAATCTGCTACACACAGGGTGGCTCCTCCCCGATTCCTGTCCAGGCAGTCAGGAGGAGGCAGTTAAGGATTTGAAACAAGTCAAATCCTGACCTTTAGTGAGGCACAAAGAAAAGTCACTGGGCCAGAGACATCCTGCAGCACCAGTGAAAGAGGGGTGGTGGGCATGACCCTCTTTCCAGCCAGGAGTCCATCTACTCTCAAATGCCAGCCTGCCACATAGCTTCTCCACCTATCTCCCCCTACTCTACTCCCCAATCCCCGCCCCCAGCTCTTGTGGAACCTGAAGGCACATTGTAGGTGTTTAAGTTCTAAACCTGGTCCTTAGAACTCAGCAACAAGGCCATGGACTCCACGACCTAGGATCATTTGTGGGTAGAAGAGGGGACTGAGCCTATATGGGGTAAATGGGGTCACAGATATTGGAGTGATGGAGAGTCAAGGAGTACACAAAAGTAAAGAGAATTCAGAGCCAGGGATGGGCATGAAGAGTCCTGGTACTTCCTCCCATTGGGCTGGCGCTGCCATGCTCACTGCCTGTAGCTCCCTGAAACAGCATCCCTACTGACTTTTGCAGCATGCCTTAAATTTCCAAAGGGCTTTCACACATGACGTTGCAAGTATACTGTAATAATGCCTGTCATTCAGCGTTAGTAACAAGGGATAACATCCATCCAGCTTTTTCTACTGGATAAACAACTTACACAGATTTTTTTTTTTTTTTAAATTCTGACCAAAGCCTTATGAGATAGATATAGTATTCCCATTTTTTTTTTTTTAAAGGAAAACTAAAGGTTGGGGAGGTTTCGTCATTCACAGGCCACACAGCAGAATAGAGATTAAAACCCCAGCAGGCTGACTTCAGACTCCATGCTCTGCCTCTCCCAGCGAAGTGCATACCAATTAACTTGTCAAAACTATGATCTTCTAGCACCAATGGAAACTTGAGGTCTAGTCTCTCAGCCTTGCCATTTGCTGGTTATCTGAACTGAAGCATGTTACTTTTTCTTTTCTCTCAATTTCCTCATGTGTAAAATGTGGCGTTGCAAGAGATGTTTATAAATTCCCATAAAATGAGTGCTTCATTTTACCCTTCCACAGCCCTGAGAGTCAGATCTTAGCATATTCAATTTTCAGAAGAAGAAACTCAACACTAGTGTAGTCAAAAGGGTTGTTTAAGGTCAAATAGCTAAGGCCAAGACTAAAACCCTGGCTTCAGACCCCAAACACTGTAACTCTTTCTATTGGAACACATTCACAGACCCATTCCCCCAGTGATCTGACCTAGATTAGGGCTGTAGCCTACAGCCTAGCGGCCCAGGGCCCAGCCCAAGAATTTGATACGGTTCCCAGAACTCCCACTGCCCCAGGCCAAGTTTGGTAGTAGAGTGTGGTCCTCAACTTTTGGGTCAAATGTAGCTAAATGGTTCATTCTGTTCCCACTTCTCTTTGAGTCTTCAGCTCCCAAATGAGAAAGCTGATTGGGAGCCCCATGAGGCAGGGTGAGGGCTTTGCTGTAGCAGGGGATGTAAAAAAAACAATAACTTCTGCCATACTTGGGTCAGCAAGACCTTCAGGAAGGAGGGGCATTCTGGGATAGAGGACTGGTTCTCTGCCTAATTCTGAGAGCACAAAGAGCAAGTAAATGAACAGTCATGAAGTCATCTCATGCCTTCTCAGCTCCTTGGCCTAAGGGGCCCACCCTGAGAGGCTTTCATGGCAGGAAGCATGAGGTCACAGCACACTTGTGCACTAAGACCCATTCTTGAGCTGCTGGTATACCAGTGCAGGGCCCAACTCAGAGGAGGGTGCTTTGTGAGGCTGTCCTGGTTAGGGCTTTTGAGACAGGGGGCTTTCGAGACACGCCTGTCCCTTCCCTGCCTCCGCCAAGGCGGAGAACAGAAATCTCAAGGAAGGAAAGAGTTTTGGCCAAGGGGCACTGAAGAATATGTGTGGACATACCACAGCTGGACAGCCTCCCCAAAGATAAAAGGACACAGCCAACTTGCCTGCTACCTGCTACCAAACATCTAGTGTCTCTTTCATTATTGAAGGGTAATCTGAAAAAGTAATCTGAGTTGGTAATGACTGACAGTGGCCTGTGCTGCTGTCTCCACACCACGTCTCCCATCTCTATGTAAATGCCACTCAAGTCCCTTATGTCCCCTGCCATCTTCCTTTCTCCTTCAGCCCATCCCATCAACCCAGCGTCTGAGAAGGGTCACTGCCACCCAGTGTCTCAACATGAGCAACAGGGTCACTCGGGGCCAGATAATTCCCTGGGGGAAAAGGGGATTGTCCTATGTTGTAGATTAGCAGCAGCCTCTACCTTTTAAGTGCCAGTGGCATCCACCTCTTGGCCATGACAATCAAAAATGTCTCCAGACATTGCCAAGTGCTCCTCTCCTTTGCTGGCTCAAATGGTCCAACAAACAAATAGTATATTTTATGATAATTACATTGAATTAAAATTGGTTTAAATCATCGTGAAGCGTATTTTTTTTTTTTTTTTGCTTCACATTAGTTACCCGCATATCAACAAACGTTTAATTAAATGGATGATTTAAAACAAAATCACTCCTGAATGAGAACCACGTCTCAGAGCCTATGACTTTAATGGGTCCCCTGGTAGGAAGAGCAGGCAAACCATGAATTGTGCATGATTCTCTGCCTTCAATGTCCACCAGTGGGTTGTGGTGAAGCCAAGTAAAAATGTATCCTACTGAAAAACCATTTTTAAAATGACAAATCTTTATGCAAACATCTATACTGAAAAACCACTTGGAGGGGGAAAATAGCCAATATGAATATAGAAGTAAAATAAGAATATCTTCATAACCTAAAGTCACATTTTAAAAAACCTTACAGACTACAAGAACCTTAACAGACTACAAAACCTTACAGATCCAAATGAAAAGGGAACAATTTAGACATCAGATTGGGTGAGATGACAGGATTACCAGGAAATTACTCCTCTTGCTCAACCTTCTGTTAATATGTGAGTAATTAACATAAAGCCAGGAAAATGTATGCTTCATGGTGATTTATACCAATTTTAATCAGATGCAATTATCCTAAAGTTGACCATTTTAGCCATCAAAGGAGAGGGCACATGTGTGAAACAAGAGGTTCACACTTGGCCTCTCCGGCTGGTTCCCCTGGTCTTCAGTCAGGAGAAACAATGGCTTTGGAGGAGGGACATCTCCATAGAGTCCTACTCCTCACTTTCCAGGGGTGGGACCAGGGAGAGCAGCTGTTTGGTAGCTATCTGTTGAGTGGAACTTACCTCGGATTTCAGCGTGGAGGTTCGAGAGTTGCCACTCAGAGTATAATGCGTTTCTGTGTAGGTTGGAGCAAAAAGGTATCTGTGAAGAATAAGAAAAGGCATTAGTCTCCTGAGGTGATGGACTTCCCCCTCCTGGGAACGATGGCTAGCCATTCTAACTGAAGCAGGCAGAACTACCCCCCACATCTCAGTGCAGGAGAAATGGGACGGCCATAGGGCCTAAGAAACTAAAAGAAAACCAGAAGGGAGAGTTTGCTATGAATTTTGTATTCGTGGGGGTCATCATTGAGTTCAGACAAACCAGATGGAGTCATCAGACTAAAGCAGTGATCTTCAACTTTTTCTGGGTCCTGCGAACACACATGCATACACATAACTCAACATTTATCTGGATTGATTTTTCTACCACTGCATCCAAGGAAGGATCAGCACACCAATTTTTCTTTAAGGAAATACCTCTCCCCTGTCGTATGTTTTGGTGAGACTGTCAATCCAGGTGTCCTCCCTAGCCTAGCCAAGGGTGGCCATGATCCAAGCTAAGCCAATGGAATAATGCCGCAAGAGCTGAACAGATGGGAGCAATTCATCTGTGCCTTTGTTCCTGCCGTATAGATTCCTGAGTCTGCCTTGGCCTGTCCTTTCTGAGACCTAGTGGTTTAGATTTCCTGAGACCTGGTACTTCTGTGTGTTATCCCTCTAACAAATTCTTTTCTTTTCTAAAATTAGACATTTGTTTCTCTCTTACTACAGACAGCCTGAAGTTCTGCTCACCAGTATATATTCCTGTTTAACATTTACTCAATGAAAGAACAATTTAACTAATTACTGGATGAAGGAATGGATAAATGAAGGAACAAGTACATGAGTGAGTCGACTGGCATGCTAGGAGCTGAGAACATGGTCTGGAGTTGGCGAGAGTAAGATTTCAATACCAGTTCTGACATTTACTGTCTCTAATGGCCATACGCGACTTACTTTTTCCCTCTGAATACATATCTGTTTTCTCTTCTTCAAAAATGAAGATAAGATTCTTACTTGACTGCATTGCCATAGGAGTAAACTGACAAAATGCATGAAAAGGGCTTACCACCAAGTAGGTACAGGGTGGAGCTCAGTGAAGGTTAGCATTTATCACTATTGCTTTCAACGGGAAGTACAATGGAACGAACCAGCAAAACTGATGGAATTACCTATTTCCCTTTAAATCTGCCAGCCAGCAACTCTCCGGTAGATCACTTGGGAGTGGCAAAGAAAAGCAATTAGCTCATTCCTGAAGCCCCATTTCCTAGGTCTGGTTTCGGAGAATGCGTAATGGACAGCCAGGCAGGGGTTCAGAGTTTAATGGTCTATCCAGGCGCCAGTGGGATATAAATGTTCTCAATGAAAATGCACTCCTGATAAGTACATTATCAGCCTCTTCTCCGTCTTAGGGGGAGGATTATTCATCCAGCGACATTAAGATGCTCCAAAGAAAGCCATCCAGAGTGAACCTCACAGGTGACCACATTCTTGCCAGGCCTCGGCCACTCACAGAACTCTCCAGGCCTCCAAATTGAAAGGGACTTTAGGAATCAGCCAAACTCACTGGACTATGGGCTCACTAAGAGCACGGCTGTCTTGTTTGAGGCTTCTCCCCAGCTTCCAGCTGCTACCAGGCAGGAGGCCCATGTTTATTTGGTGAATAAGTGGACAAATGAATAAATGAATGAACATTCAACCTTGTACAGGAATCTGCCAGATGGCCATTCATCTCTGGACATATCCAGCAACAGGGAGCTCCTGAGATCGAATCTAGTAGAAAGTCCTTACACTGAACCAGAAACTACCTGTCTGACCGGCACCTACTTGGCCTTCCCTTTTGTCTTCTGAATCTCCAAGGAACAATCTGCTTCCTCTTCTACCTAACTGTCCTCCTGGGACCAGCGGAATCAGCCTATTGGGTACACTGAAGCAGGCAGAATTCTGGGGTTGGGATCAAAACTAACACTCTAGACCACAAGATTTCAACATACTTCTATGGAAGGCAATTTTAGAAATACCAAAGAAGCTCGGGTCACCTTCCTGCCTCCACCGCACCCTCGATCCTTCTGAGGGTGGGAAACCCGGAAAAGTTGCAATCAGAATCGTTCAGGTGTAAGTGTTCAATTACTTCACCTTCACGATACTAACCCCTTCCCCGTGTTGTAACTGGGGACACTGGGAACGGGGACGTGTAACTGTGCAGGCTCTCACGGTACCGTGTCAGAGCTGGGTTTCAAACCAGGTCTGCTGGTCCTGGCAACACTTTTAAAGTAGTTTTCTGTTCTGTCTCTCTTAGAAGGTGAAGCATAAAATTACCGCACTGCCAAGAACCAGCAGTCCAAACCACAGTTTGATGGTGATGCCAGTTGGCCTTGTGGACACATGTGCTGTCACACAAAGGAGACTCAGCTCTTAAGTGCGACTGGGTGCAGAGAGGAGCAATAGGCGTAAGCAAAGCATGGGGCAGGAAGAAGAGGATGGACATATGAGAACTTCAGGGCTAGTGTTTTGTTTTTTGTGTGGAGTTTTTTTGTTTGTTTGTTTGTTTGTTTTTTGCAGTAATCCAAATAGGGTTGCAGATGTTGGCCAGGAAGGTCCTTTCTTCTTGAAGCAAAAGGAAGGGTCATGTTTCATCACCACCATCTGTGCAATGTTACTGATAGATGAGACACTGTTTTCGAATACTTCCCACTGCCCCGCGCTGGGCCCATCTGTGCCCAGGCGGTGCCCTGGCACTGCTCTCAGGATCTGCAGACACTGCTGTCCCCGTGGGGCCACTGAGCAGCCCAGCTGGGCCCACCCGCTCCTTCTCTGACCACATCTTGTTCTCATCTCCTCCCTGACAAGGAGCTGGCTCAGCAAATCGGCAGGAAGCCGTCTCTCAGCACTGGAGTGTATTAGGATTTTCAGGAAACGAGTTGTGAGTGATGTGTGTCCAGGAAGAGAGAAGGGCTATCTAAGATTTCCCACCCCGCCCCCTCCTTTTTCTGGCTTTGATGGAAAAGCAGTTTCTGTGCACCCTCCTGCCCTCTGTCAGAGCCCCCTGTGGATCCATCCAGGCACACAAGCCCGCAGGCAGGTCCACATCCTGTCCAAGGCTAACGACAGCCAGCACTGGAATGTCCACCTGGCGAGACCCAGGTTGCCCCAGACCCCAAAGTCCTTGAGCAAGACCTGCGTCTTCTGAATGCCACTTGGGAAAATAAGCTCCCAAATATCAGACATAAAACATAAGGACAAGTGAACTGCCGTGGCACCCTGAAACTTTTTGTTCATGGCATCTGAAACCTTTTTGTTCGTGTAGTCTGATCCCAAAGGCACACTTCCCTGACCCCACCTTCCTAAGGCTCGGGGCCTTCAAACCCAGCACCATCCTCTTAAGGCCTATTTATTGTCAGCCAAAGTTGAAATGCCTCTCTAAACTTCAACTCAAAGCAAAGTTGCAAAATATCTCTCAGATCAGCTCTCCTTCCTGCTGCTTCAAATAAGCAAACAGGAGAAGACAGAGTGCTAACAATTTCCAAACTACCTTGGAAAACCTATGCAGACAAGCTCAGCGGAAGCAAACATTGCTCCGCTATCCCAGGGGCTATTTTTACTGACAGCTTCTTCCCCCAGCTTTTGGTCCCATCTTGCTTTTCCAAGAGTATCCGGGCACTTAGACACTGGTGATGCTTGGGCGGTGTATGCAGCCTGGCTGGTCCCTCTTATTTTCCCTGGAGGACCTTTTCCCTGCCTTCCTGTGTTGGAGATGATGTAAGCCTCTTTCATTTCTTGCTCATGTTCTTACTGCCATCATTATGGGACTTAGTCCAGTAGCTGCACTACACCCGGAAATGCTGTGGAGGAAAAAAATGTATATCCCAGGCCACATCCCATACCCAAAGAGGATTTTATTCCCTAGAGAATTTCAGAAGTCCGTATTTTTAATAGTTTTTCCAGGTGATACATTTCCAGGCTCTGAGAATTCTCCTGCTCCACTGGATCAAGTTTAACATTTTAAATTGTTTCCCGTTTCTAACCTCCCAAAACCTAAAAACGATACCAGCACAAGGTATAGGAAAAATCTAGGGCTCGGAAAGCTTTGGTTTGAGTACTTGCCACACTACTCTCTAGACGACTGACCTTTCAAACCCTGGAAATGAGTCAAGATGCCTGAAGTCCCTCTCAATGTCACAACAAGGGCACTGTCAGGTCAGAGACTGTGAGAGGCCACTTTCCTTAAACTGGAAAAGACTATTCACAATTAGGACAGCTTTTTAAAAAAAATGAGACTGTAACTTGTAACTTGTAAAAACCTAATAAGAGATGCAAATGATTTCCATCCTGTGGAAGAGAGACCGCCAAAGGTTATGCAGGGTTTTACTGCCCCGAGGATATTAATTAACAAGCTTTGTATCTAATTTAAGCACTCTATTTCAACATTCCTTTTTTCTAGTTTGTTTTTTTTTAAACCAATTTATCATCTTGCTGGTTAAGCACGCACACACGACCTCCTCCCCACCCCCCTATTTGTCAGTGAATAAGACTGAGAGGTGCATTTGTATGAGAAGTGCTTCACTTACTCCAGGCCCCCATTTCCTAGATGGCAAGTGAACAGGAATAATTACTACCTCACAGCTTCCTGGAGAGGATTGAATGGGGAAATACATTCAAATACTAGCTCTGATGCTTATTAGTTCTGTGAGTTTGTGCCTCAGTTTTCTCATCAATAAAATGGGGGGAAAGACAATCTACTTCATATTTAGAAGACTAGCTAATTTAAAATATATGCTTAATGCACCCCTATATTAATAGCAGTACAAGTCACAATAGCTAAGATTTGGAAACAGCCTAAGTGCCCATCAGCAGATGAGTAGATTAAAAAACTGTGGTACATATACACAATGAAATACTACACTGCTGTAAAAAAGGAGTTATCACCATTTGCAACAGCATGGATGGAACTGGAGAGCATTATGCTAAGTAAAATAAGCCAGTCAGAGAAAGATAAATATAACATGATCTCACTCATTTGTGGAATATAATGAACATAAAATGATGAACAAAAACAGATCC